TATGGAGTGTCCTCTAGTGAAGCCTGGTTGACAGCAGTCTAGTGGCTAAGCAAAATATTGTTGCAAACTGTTTTTTTTTTTTTTTAAATCAAAGATCCCTCTTGAGAGCAGACTCAAAACTATTTTAATAATCATTTAATTTTGACTGTAGAGTAGAACTTTGAGTTGATTCTTCAAAGGTCTTGAAGACAACGTAATGAGGATGTTGTGACAGAAAATTCTTAGGAGTAGTGGTTTGTAGAATAGAAATTCAATGATTTTTCTTTTATAGTTCAGTTGTACAAATATATATATATATAAAATTCTTAAGTAAGCTCTGCCCCAGACGGACGCTAAAAAAGGTGGCTGGGCGGTACAATCGAATATAAATTGAAATTTATGGAGCCTGAGATTTACCGAGAGCTTTACCAAAGCCCTCCTTCGGTATTAATCAACCTGACTGTCCCATTACGTCTATTTCTTTTCTCTCAACAGACTGAAGGATTTTATAGTAGGCGTAATAGAAAAACAAACCGGATCCCATAAATCAAATTTACGTTTTTTTACCTACCACCACTGATTATTGTTTTGTTCACATCAATACAACTTTAAAACGCGATGAGAGCATGAGTACAGCAATGCCTCGATGTCTAGGTTGATTTATTTGCTCCGCTGAGCATCAATCAATCAATCATTTAGCCCATTAAACATGATAAACTTATTATTATTCATAAACAACTGGGCTTGGACGATAGCAATTTGATGGGGAATTTGCATTAGAATCAGCGTCCTAATTTGGTATGTGGCCAGATTAGATGTGTCCATTATAAAAGGTGTTCGTCAATGCTAAATCCTCCCACCACTACATTTTAACCTCAAAAGGAAAGAATCGAGGTGTGAAAGTGCATCGAGTTCTTGTAAGGCACGCTTCACAATGGGTTTTGCAACATGATGCTGTTTATTTCTAGCTGCTTTCCTCTCTCAAAACTGATAGTCAGGAAATAAGCTGAAAATAAACCCACTGAAGATAGCAAAAAGCCGAAACAAACTTAACAGACGCAAGAAGGAAAGAAAGACCACAATGATTTGTAACGAAATTTTAAAAAATCTGACAACACGTCAAACGTTCTGAAATTGGGCAAGCACGTCAAGGAAGCAACGTGGACAACGATTGAACTATAGCTGGCACGACACCACCATCAAGATTTGCCTTTTTACACACGGGATCTTCCAAAAGGATTCAATTGACAAAAAATAGAGATCCAAAGAAATATAACAGACAGAGAGAGAGTGAGAGTGAGAGAGAGAGCTCATCGATTGTCGACAACACGAAACAACTGCAGCAGTATTCTGCATTTAGATGAAGCTACATTCCAAGGAGTAATATGCGTCATGTACGAAAACACTCCGTAGACAGACAAAATAACGTACTTATACTTAGACGTTACCAATTTAGGTATGCCTGAATTTGCTAGGTTGGCCTTGTCAACACTCTGCTTACTTTCTGACTAACCAGGTTTGACAGAGTAAAACGGCGAAACTAGGCGGATCATTGATCGTAAACCACCAGTCTGTAAGTCGGCTCGTGAGGGATCATCTAGTACTGCCTTTTCCTTTGGTGTCTGACCACCAGGTTTGACCGGGCAAACATCGAGACTAGGCGTACCAACACGATCGTGAACTACCAGTCTACAGAGAGGATCATTAGCTGACAGACTACAACAAGAATTAGACAATTTGTGTTGTTGTGAGTTTTCTCCATATGGTCTGAGGAGTGATGAGCCTGTAATTTATAAATTATACATAATTTATGAACGATGCTATGTCAAAGGGAACTTATTAACTTCGTATTTGAAGTATTCGGTATAATTCTTTATGGTGTTGAAACTAGGACGCTTACAGATGCTGGAAGCAGTCAAAATGTGGACGATCAGATGAATTCTGACGATTCATTGGACGGCAAGTGTTACTAATTGCTTTATTACAGCACCTGAGTAAAAAGCAGGTGCAGGAGAACATTCTGATTTGAGAATTTAGGCCAATGGTCGCAGTGAACTCTGTTTAGAATAGCTTTAGATAGAAAACTGTTTAGTCAACTGATCCCCAACGTTCTACGAGGACATAACTTATGTTGAAGAATGTCCCCGTCTCCCTGATTTATCGGAATACTTGAGATGATCCATGGCGTGAAAGTTCAGAATGAAATTAATCAATTGCAGAACTAAGAAGGGCAGCAACAACTTGCCGCAAATCATCGACCCGCACGGCAGGAGATAGGTAAAAACTTCAGAAACGGTTTAGTTCATAGTTTCCCCCAAACAATGAATTGCTAACGAGCTGAATGATTCTCCTGTTTCTGTTGACGAGTTGAAACCTTATTTGTTTCTAACCGCCAGAAAATTAAATAAATACTTCCGTAGTTGATTTAATTAGAAAATAAAAAATACGCAAATAGAGAGAATCCTTGCATATTAATCTTCCAGATCAAATTTTCGTTGATTTTGTCTAACAGACTTCGCCTTTTCGCCATCGCTTGAGGTCTTTGCGTTGTTTTGTCAGTTGATTCCTTTTAAAAGCCACCACGGAGAAAGACAATCGGATTGGTCAACCAGTAATTATGTCTGCCTTTCCTCGCTGAGCTGGTCCGTCAAGTGCGGTTGGAAGTTTTACCATATTCAGTGTCCATCTTGTCTTCACTCTGCTTCCTCCTGACCATCCCGGTCTGACACAGTAAAACGGCGAGAAATAAGTAGAGTGAAGCCAATGCCGTGTACTTTGTTTGGCAGACTTAGGCATTTCGCCATTGCCTGAAGTATGTGCGTTGTTTTGTCAGTTCAGTCCTTTTAAAAGACACCAACGAATGTGTGGCAGAACTAAGTGATCGGTGGCGAGTCAGCTGCAGTCGTCAGGTCACTCCAAAAATCACATTCTTGAGGCCTGCAAGTTGACATATATATAGCAGAACCTCTAGATGACCGACGCACTGACCGTTTGGTGGAATGAGAGAAGAAAAGGTCTGCAAGTTAATGGGCCTGTAGCTCGGTATTTTGCCGTGACAGGTTTGTCCAATTTGGCACGTCTAGTCTCGATGTTTTGCTCTGTCAAACCTGGTCGTCAGACAACAAGGAGAAAAGGCGGACCTAGATGATCCGTGACACGCCAGCTACACTTTTTCAGGTAATGATCACTCCAAAGGGCACATTCTTGAGGTCGGCGAATAGATGGACCTCAAGTTTAGAAGTTTACGCTCATATTGGTCCGTCTAGTCTCGCTGTTTTCCTCTGCCAAACCTGGTGGTCAGACAACAAAGAAAAATGGCAGAACTAAATGAGCCAAGGCGAGCCAACTACAGTTTTTATGCAATGCTCACTGTAAACGCCTCATTATTGCGTTCTTCCATTCGTCTACCTGTAGCCTGGTAACTTACCATCGTTTTGGTTTCTCTAGTTTCACTGTTTTACTCTGACAAACCTGGAGGCCAGAAAACAAGGAGAAAAGGCAGACCTAGATGAGCCAAGGCGATCCGGCTACAGTTTGCAGATAACGATCAACCCAGAGACCATATCTTGACGTCTGTCAATTGATATACCTGTAGCCTGGTAGTTTACGATCATTTCGGTCCGTTTAGTCCCGCTGTTTTGCTCTGTCAACCTGGACAAGGAGAAAATGCAGACCTAGATGATCCGTGACACGCCAGCTACACTTTTTCAAGTCCAATCACTCCAAAAAGCACATTATTGAGGTGCAGAACTACTAGAGGACCGTCGCACTGACCCTACCGTTTGGTGGAATGATAGAAGAAAAGGTCTGCAAGTTGGTGGACCTCTAGTTTGGTAATTTACGCTCATTTTGGTCCGTCTAGTCTCGCTGTTTTGCTCTGCCAAACCTGGTGTTCAAATACCAAGAACAAAAATATTCCTCCACGTTGGATTCTTGACACCTCACTCTACGTCACATGTTTTGTTTAAAAAAAATGCTTATTCATGTTAAAATACTCAAGATATCGGCGGTTTGCTGGACCAACCAGTCAAGTTGTGGATAGACTAAACTCGAAACTGTGCCGATGGATTTGTGTTATAAAAAATAATAAAAAATAATAAAAAAACAGGGATGTCTAATTTTTTCAGATGTTTGGGATCGTCAATTATTTAAAATGTTCTAAAATTTGTTTCGTGTTGTTTACAAAATGAGGTGGAATGTCTGACGTGCGTTCCAAAATGGAAAGTCGGCCGGGACACGTGGAAGTCCGGTGGAGGCGGGCCTTTTTCACCGCCCCCGTGCAAACGGTACTCGACGCCGTCCCCAGCTTTTTCCCCCCAATTTTCCCCTCAAAATTATACAAAAAACGACTCGATTCGAAAATGTCAATTTAACAAAGTACTTAAAAACTTAAAAGGCCGGAGGTTATTTTTTCAGAAGGTTTCTCAACGTAGGTTACAAATAGGTATTACAACAAAAGAGTGCTTATCATTGAAAATAAGGGAGAGCGAAATGATTTTAAAAAATAAATTCATTCATTAATTTAAAAAAAAAAGGCAAGTGCATATTTATGAAATCGTAAATTGGGAGAATGAGGAGGGATAAAAACTTATTTTAAAGCGCCGACGGTTTTTAGAGGAGGATAATTAATCGGCGGACTGTCAAGTGTCAAAAGTAGACGTCAACAACGGTTGAGAGGCTCTTTTTCACCCGGCGCACTTAAAACATTTTCCGTGGAGTTACACGACCGATTAAAGTTACACCCACGTCTGGTTGGATTTTTAATTAAAAATCGAGTAGTAAAATCTGTCAAAACTGAGTGAGAACGTCCCCCTTGAATAAAGGATGAGAGAATAACGATTTTCCCTGGTGTTTTTTTGGTTTTTTTGGGGGTGGGGAATCTTTAAAAAAATAAAAGGTACGGGTTTTTATTATAAAGTCGTAAATCGTTATCGATTCGGTACGGGCGCGGATGCCGATCAGGGAAGAAACGCCAGGGTCTAACGATTTCCAGGAGTCGGAAAAATGAACAGGTAACTCACCAGATGCAATACGGTGTTGACGACTTCTCTGTTCGACACCTGTCCCACCTCAATGAGTCCGATGAGCACGGCGAACTTGAGACTGTCGTTCATTGCCATTCTGACGACTTCCTCCGGCTTTTTTATGTCGGTTATCCCTGGTACTTGGGGATCACCCATGTTTTCCACAGATCCGTCCACGCCCCCGTCACAAAAGAAGCATTTGTACGTATCTCGCAAGTCACCGTCCTCTGCAGAGGGAGCCGAACGTGTGCGCTATAAAGTTTAGGATTTACGAGACGCCCGGGCCACTTCCTCCATCACGGTTTGCTGGAGAAATACTAAGATTATTGTGATACGGAAACTAAGCACGGGACTGGAGAGTTTGAGACGAGGCTCGATAGATTTCGCGCTTTTCGACGCCGACAATCGATTCTAGAGAGCCGCCCTCTACAGCACGACTCCGGCCGAGTCGGCGCTCCTATTCTCTTAGTTGACGAGGTTTCCGTTGTTCACTCGGTTCTTCTTCAGTTTCAGCTTGCGTTAACTCTAAACGGTTAAAACACTCAAGTTTTGTTTTAATTTTTCATCTTCGACGAACGGCCTCCTCTCCACGTAAAATCTTCAACCATCCGAAAACTAGAAATCCTGACTATTTTTCTTTGATTCAACTGACATTTGAAATGGCAGTCGAAGTGGAAAAGCAAAAGGTGAGTGACTCCTTGTAACCTTTTGAGTAAACACAACTTCAATACTAAATCTCGACACTTTTTTTTATTCAATTTACCCTCTAATATTTCTTTTTTTTTATTAAATAAGTCAACTTTAAACACAACCATCCGACTAGTTATTTCTCGACAACCGTCTTTAAAAAAAAAAAATTCCTAAATTTTTCCCTTTTTTGTTTCTGCCCTGGTGACTCACATCATCGTCACCCGCATTCTTTCCTTGTCAAGTTGTTAACAATTTTGACAGATAAGACGTGAATCTCTACTGGCAATTTCCTTGTGCCCTAATTCCAGTCTATTAGTGATTTAAAAAATTATATTAAAAAATATTTAAATCAAAAAGAATATTTTCATTACATTTACATCCATTTAGCAAAGTGATTCAGTTTCACTTTTGAACTACTGTTTGAGAGCGATGGAACCAAATTCGATCTGTTCTGAACTATAAAATTATAAAGAATTTATGTTATACATTTTTATATATTATACATTTTTTATCAAACAATTTTGTAGGAATGAGATAAGGGTTCAGTTCTAGATAAATGGAACTCGAAATCGCAGTCTTGTTAAAATAATAACATCTGTTTTGCCGTGGAGTGATCCCACCCGAACTGTCAGTTATGCTTGGTTTTTGGCCAAAAAAAGCCAACTTTTGCAGACATGGTCCGGAGATGCCAGTAGAGGGAAGTCGATGACCCTGGGATTGATACTCGAGCTGGTTAAACCGAAATTTCCACCCTAGGTTTGAGACGATCTGGCAACCCTGGCCAAATCGACTTAACTGGTACATTTTTGTTTCACTATATTCATTGAACTTAGGTCGAGGTATTCTGGTTTTCGCCTTGCCTTCATAGTTGTGCTGGAATCACACTGAGAATGGTGCTTGAGCTAGGAAACCAACCGATTCAGCCCTGTGTTAGAGACGGTATGGTGAGGCCAAATCGAATGCACTGTACATTGACTTAACTAAGTTCCTCGTACTTGGGTCAGGATATCCCAGTTTTCATGTTGTCAACACAGATGGGCTGGAATGACACTGGGAACGTTACTCGAGCTGGGAAACCAACCGATTCAGTCCTATGTTAAAAACGATAAGGCAACTCTGGCCAAATCGACAGCTCTGCCAAATCTTTACTTCACTAAGTTCCTTGAACTTATGTCGAGGTATCCCGGTCTTCATGATCAGGCTGGAATGACACTGAGAACGGTGCCTGAGCTAGGAAACCAACTGATTCAGCCCTATGTTAAAGATGATATGGCAACTCTGGCCAAATCGACTACATTGCCAAATCTTTACTTCACTATATTCTTCAAACATAGGTCAGGATATCCCAGTTTTCACCTGGTCTTCACAGATGGACTGGAATGACACTGGATCAGTACTCGGCCTTGTAAACCAACCGATTCAAACCTGTGTTAGAGACTATCCGATGACCCTGTCAAATCAAATGCCCTGCCCAATCTTTACTTCACTAAGTTCCTCAGACTTAGGTCGAGGAATCCTGGTTTTGTCTTGTCTTCATGGTCGGACTGGAATGACACTGGGAACAATACTCGACCTTGTAAACCAACCGATTCAACCCTTTGTTAGAGAATATGGTGACCCCCGCCAAATTGACTGCACTGCCATATCTTTACTTGACTAAGTTCCTCAAACTTGGGTCAGGATATCCGTTTTCACCTTGACTCCAGATATGGGCTGTAATGACACTGGGACCGGTACTTGAGCTGGGAAACCATTTTATTTAGCCCAGGTTTGAGACAATCTGGCGACCCCGGAAAAATTGTCTACACTGCCATATATAACTCACTATGTTCCTTGAACTTTTTTAATCCTTAGTAGTGGTTTATATTGGTACAGACCAAGGGAAAAAATAGAAAAGACGATGGCCTAGTGTGCAATTTGGTAATTACCTTATCATTCCGGTCTGCCTCTCTTCACTGCGTTGGTCTATCAGGCAAGTTTTTCACTCGGCTTATTCCCGCTGATTTACGGAAATTCCTTGTCTATCACAGCAAGAATAGGCAGATCAAAATTACCTCTATATTCATTTTTTTAATTTATTGTCTTTGAGCTGTAACCCTATTGTGGCTTAGCATCGTGCCACAAAAGAGGAGGATACATCATAAAATGGATCCTGAATGAGTCCAAAACTGGGTGGAACAATACCACAGGTATGATGCATGCAAAGAGATTCATAGAAGGGCCAAACTTGCAAAACTTACAAAAAACTACTGGAAGGCAACCACTACCGAACCAGCATTCTGGTTGGACTCCTGGCAGGGCACTGCCATTGAAACAAGGTACTTGCAATGTGGAGTACAGACTGAAGAAACACTGTGTGCATACTGTCAGGAAGAGGAGGAGACCACAGAACACATTCTATGGTTCTGTGAAGGTCTGTGTAGGTGCAGGTTCTTGCAACTAGGACAAGAAAAACCACAAGCAAGATTTTACACTAACGAGCCACTGGCAAAGCTATAGAGGCTGATTAATAGCCTAAAGCTGCCCAGTGAGTTGTAAATGACAGGGGAACACAATAAATCTAAGGCCTTGTGGCCGCCTCTTTTATCACTATCCCTATCCCTATCCCCACTAATTAGATAGGACCTTAATTTCTCATCTCATAATTGTAAAAACTACAAACTATAAAAATATTGCATTGGCTACATTGAGAGCTCTTCAATACAGTAATACAAGAAGTGGGTTAAAAAGGCTAGTTGCACTCCTTGTCATCTTCTAACACGTTTTTATCTCGATGATTTGAACCCAAATTAAAAAAGTCAAAAATCATTCTTATTTTTTGTGTTTATTTTAATACCAGAGTGATTATGTGATGATTTTTAATTTTGAAAATGTAAGTTTTAAATTATTTTTTATTTTCAGGGTGACCCTGAAAACATAAGGACACTAAAGTTGTCGGGTCACGTTGGATTCGACATTTTCCCCGACCAATTGGTGAACAAGTCTGTCCAGAGTGGCTTCATTTTCAACATCTTATGCATTGGTAAACTTTTTTTAAATAGCCTTATATTTTTACTTATTAGTTAATTCTGTTGACGAATGGATATTTTGTGTGGGAGGGGAGGGTTCAGAAATTCAAGGGGCGATGGTGATAATCGAACAGACAATGTCGAGGTCTACGAGCTGAGAGTGAAAAAATGCTATACTTGGTTTTTGAAATTTGAATACTTTCCAATGTCCTGTTTTAGTCCGGGGAATCATAAAATTAATTGTCACAGTGATAAGTGTTCTATCTAGGAAAGTTCTGGTTGATAATTTATCAGTACTGTGGTATTAATCATGTTTCATAATTCAATTATAACATTTCTCACGATAATGTTCTTTAACCACTTAAAACTTGTCTCGGAAAAATTTTTTTTTTATTTTGTGTTATATTTTTGTTGATTAGTCATAGGGTAAGACTTTGACACAGCAACTCAACGATGTAAGGGTCACAGGTTCAAATCTCAGCACCCCTGAATTCAAATTTTTCCAAAACACCAGAGACTGAGAACTGCATAGTTGAAAATTCCTGTATAAAAATGTTTAAAAAATGTTCTGATTCTCAGTGCTTAACTATTTTAGTAGTTGTAATTCGGTTGTTACCTTTTGATCTGTCTATTCTCACTGGGTTGGTCTGTCAGACGCATTCAGCATTTCACCATCTTCAGTTTGTTTGTATTTTATTGCTTGTAAACTTACATTAAAACACTATTTTTTATTTTGTTTTGTTATGTTTTATTTCAGGTGAAACTGGTTTGGGCAAATCTACACTTATGGATTCGTTATTTAATACCAGTTTTGAGTCTTCGCCCAGTCCTCATACACTACCGACGGTTAAATTAAAAGCTCACACGTACGAATTGCAAGAAACAAATGTCAGACTCAAAGTAAGATATAAAATTTAATCAGCCTTATCAAATCCTATCATTTCATTTATTATCTTGTTTCATTTTCTTCCTCAGCTCACTATCATTGATACTGTCGGATATGGAGATCAAATCAACAAGGAAGATAGTTACCAAGCCATTGTCGATTATATTGATGCTCAGTTTGAAGCATATCTCCAAGAAGAGCTTAAGATCAAAAGGTCCCTATCAACCTACCATGATTCTAGGATTCATGCTTGTTTGTACTTCATTTGCCCCACTGGGCATGGGTAAGTTTTTTTTAACATTATTAATGTGAAACAATGAGGGAGAAGTTTTGATAAGGGGAGAATTAAAAACGGCCAATTATTTTGACACTGCTATTAATTGTCATGTTCATTCATATCACCTATAATACATTTTAAAAAAAATCCTTTTCTTTAATCCTTTTACTGAAGAAAAATCACAAAAGCCTAATGAGGACTTCTCCAAGTAATTACAAATAAAATAGACACTATTTTTATATTTAACATTCCACACTTCAGAGTATTTTTCTATTTCTTGTATAAATACAAGACAGGATAAGTTGGTTATAGGGACAGATAGGTTAAATCGGTTAGGGTTGTTTAAGGATGAATTAAGTTGGCTATGGGCACAGGTTAAGTTGGTTAAGGATGAGTTAATTGGTTATGGGCACAGGTTAAATTAAGTTGGATAGAGATAGGGAAGGGTTAAGTTGGTTAAGGACCAGTTTAGGTTAACATTGAGTTGGATAGGGACGAGTTAATTTGGTTACGGAGATGGGTTAAAATAAGTTAGCTAGTGATAGGGAAAGGTTAAGTTCGTTAGGGATGAGTTAATTGGTTAGGGGCACAGGTTAAATTAAGTTGGGTAGAGATAGAGACGGGTTAAGTTGGTTAAGGACCGGTTTAGGTTAATTTGGCTAGGTATAAGTTAATTTGGTTATGGACATGGGGAAGGGTTAAGTTGGTTATCGGGACACATTTGGTTAAATCAGTTAGGGTTGTATAGGTTAAGTTGATTAAGGGCAGGTTTACATTGAGTTGGTTAGGGGCGAGTTAATTTGGTTATGGAGATGGGAACGGGTTAATTTGGCTAGGGTTTGGGGTGGATTAAGTCGGTTATAAAGACAGATTAGGTTAAATTGGTTAGAGCTAAGGCCAAGTTTAGGTTAAGTTGGCTAGGGGGCTGAAATATTCCCAGAAAAACTGGGTTAGGGGCAGATTAAGTTAGGTTGGTTAGATCTAGAGAAAGGTTAAGTTCAGTTGGATGTAAGGATGGATTAGGTTAAATTGATTAGCATTAGGGGTGGGTTTTGGTTAAGGACAGGTTAAGTTCAGTGGGTTAGGGGCAGATTAAGTTAGGTTACGTTGGTCAGTTAGATCTAGAAAAGGGTTAGGTTATGTTGGATATAAGGATGGGTTAGGTTAAATTGGTTAGCATTAGGGGCGGGTTTAGGTTAAGTTGGTTAGGGACAGGTGAAGTTAGGGTAGGGTTGAATGTTTTTCTGGGAATATTTCAGCGTTTTTTTTGTTGTTTTTTTTAATTGGTATTTTTTAATTTTTGTTCTAGGTTGAAATCTTTGGATTTATCTTGTATGAAGAAACTTGATAATAAAGTGAATATTATTCCCATTATTGCCAAAGCTGATACTATATCTAAATCAGAGCTTCAAAAATTCAAGGTAACCAACATGAAACATTAAAAAAAAGTTGATTTGTTTTGTAACATTAAAAAAACTTTATTTATATCATATCAATGTTCCTTCCTTTCTGTATAAAGTGCAAATAAATACTGAAACAATATTGAGATGATAAAAGACATATTTTTGATTTTATTAAGTGAAACTCATGTATGGTAAATGTTTGTGTTAATTAATTAAGGTTTTTAAGTTGAGATAAAAAAGTCAGTGTCACGAGCGGGATTCGGCATGATACGCCGCTACTCTACCACTTGAGCTATTGTGACTTCGATCCCCTCAGGCACTAACTTCCCATCTCAACCCCACCTTTTGAATTTTCTCTCCTTTTTGCCATTTTTCAAATGTCATTTTATCTCAACTTAAAAACCTTAATTAATTGAATGTTATTTGGTCAAGCAGACCACGAAAAATAGTGAATTTAATGTATTGTGTTAGTTCAAACACTTGTTGATGAATCATTTAATCCAATAATATCGATGTTATTCCATGGTTGTTTTTAGAAATGTCACAACTTTTTTTTGTTTAATTGAAGGCAAAAATCATCAGTGAACTTGCAGCAAATGGGGTAGAAATATACCAGTTTCCCATAGACGATGAACAAGTGGGCGAAATCAACGGTAACATGAACAGCCACTTGCCATTTGCTGTTATCGGCAGTACAGAATTCGTGAGGATTGGGAACAAGATGATGAGATCACGACAGTACCCCTGGGGAACAGTCCAAGGTAAACTCATTCCCTTAATTATGAGTGTTCTTGTTTGACGTTTTATTTTGTCCAGTTGAAAATGAATCGCATTGCGACTTTGTAAAATTGAGGGAAATGTTGATAAGAACTAACATGGAAGATATGAGGGAGAAGACTCATTGTAAACACTATGAACTGTATAGAAAAAAACGTCTTGAGCAGGTGAGTGAAAAAAAAAAAAAAAACTTTATTTTGGTTTATTCAAAGAAATGTGCGTGTAATTTCAATTTTTTTGTTTTTATTTATTTTTTTATTTTGACTCTTGCTTGAGGGTAAAAGTGTGGCAACTAGGTTTCAGAAGTTAGAGAGGTAAAAGTGCGTCCCACAAGGGAGCATTCTTGGTCCCATCATTTATACTACTGACCTACCTATTCCCTCTAATACCATCATCACCACCTATGCAGACGATTACATTGAAAAACCAGTCTTGCCCTTCACTGAACAATCAGCAAGAAAAAGAAGTCAACTTCCATTCAAGTCAAATACTTAGGAATATACCTAGACAGCATACTGATATGAAATCCTCACACAAGACTTAACAAGTCTTGGACAACACAAAGACTTATAGGACCAAAATCTGTCTTGACCGTCAAAACTCAACTAACTTTATACAACACATACTGCAACCACTGTGACCAGGAGGGGAACTATGGGGTCCTGCCAAGCCATCCAACCTCCAGCAAATACAACCTTCCAATTAACAATCAGATAAATAGTCAAACCTTCTTAATACGTCACTAACCTCCAACAAAACTCAAATAACTATTTAAGACATTACTACGGATACAGATGGAACTGTTGGTCCGCCAAACCGTCTATCCAATACATCCATTCCTTCTAATCAAAAGTCTCAGATAATTGTCATAGCTACATAATACATCACTAACCTCATTATTTACAATGATCTCTACATTTATTTTTTTCTGAGGCTATAATTTCCCGCTTCCAAAAGTTCAGTACTAAGCTTTCAGCCCATTCTGGCCATACTGCTCAAGCTTTTTCTACATTTCTCAACTTTAGAACCCGCCTTAAACATGTCCTCAAACCCTCTTAATCCATCCTCCCTGTTAAGTGCCAGCATTTGCTCGTTTCTGTAAGTACAACAAGTTTACTCTGCTCTTCTTTATACACTTCCACAATGATTTCAATATTCTGTCAAACACAACTAAATTTATACAAATATTACTGCAACTCCTTTGGGCAGGAGTGAAACTGTGTGGTTCCTCCAAGGCATTTAAAATTCAGCGAATACAATCGTTTCAATCAAAGCTCTTTACTACATCATTAACCTCCCTATACAGAAAAACCTCCACCAACTTTCACAGCACTCAATTCTGACCCTACTACTCAACCTTTTCAAACACTTTCCCATCCCGAGAACTCTCCATTACCTTACTTGTCGACCTTCTTGCCCCTTAATCCCTCACACTGAGAGCCAACATTGGCTAGTTTCTCATGGCGTGTGTCCTCCAGGTGCAGCACTGGCATTAGTGTTAGTGCTGTCACCGTGTGAAAAAAAAAATTATGAAATTATTTTTAACATGTGTAGGGTACAAATAAAATAATTTTTAAAAAAAACTGTGAAAGACTTCAATTCATTTTTGTTCCTTCGGCTGTTTTAGATGGGATTTACCGATGTAGATTCTGAAAATAAACCAGTTAGCTTCCAACAGTCATACGAAGCCAAAAGAATGAATCATTTGCAAGAACTTCAACAAAAAGAAGATGAAATGAGGCAGATGTTTGTTGTTAGAGTAAAAGAAAAAGAGACTGAATTAAAAGAAGCTGAAAAAGAGGTAAACATGCCAACATTGTTAAAAAAAAATTTATATATTACTTGTGGGTTTTTTTGTTTTTTTTTATAGCTCCATGCTAAATTTGATAAATTAAGGCATGAACACACCGAAGAGAAAAGAAAACTCGAAGACGCTAGGAAAAAGTATGAAGAAGATATGGTTGAATTTACACGACGAAAAGCGCAATTTACTCAAGTTTCCACATCACACCATACATTAACTCTTGGGAAAAGTAAAAAGAAGTGAATTTCTTTTTTCCTCATTGTCTCAGTATTATATTATTGACCAACCTAGACAGTTAATTTTCATAGTTTGTTTAACAAATTATGATTACAGCTTGTACACAGATTTATTACAAAGAAAAAAAAACAGAAGTGCACTATTACCATTTATTGTATGTATGTTGTTTTTTTACTTATGGATGCTTGTTTATTATAATTTTGTGAGTAGATTTACGAAAAAAATATATATAACTCTAATATATTGTATTTTTTAAAAATGAGACCATATTGTCTTCCCCATAATTATGTACTCTTTAATGATTTGTATTTGATCATTTTATTTATTTTTTTGAGTGTATTTTTAAACTATTTTGCTGTGATAAATGTGTTACAGTCATTTAAGTATTATATATTCATATATCAAAAGTATCAAGATTTGTTCAATTTGTAAGCATGTAAACTCTTGTAATCAATATTTAAAAAAAAGATAAATAGTACTTTCCTGCTTTTGTTTCCACATGTATTTTTGAAAGAAATTTAAACGTATAGATTGATGATAAATGATTAAAAAATTACAAATATATAAATGTTTAAAAAAATCATCGCCATTCCAACTTTCTGCCATACTATTAAATGTGTTCATTTATAAAATAGTTCTTATTTAGGAATAAAAACCTTCGCAACTGTAGAAAATATTTTTCAAACCACTGTGTAGTATTTAGATGCTAAAACGAGACTAATTGTGTATTTTCTTCAATGTTATCATGTTAATTTATTTAATAATTAATCTAAGTTACAAAATATTGAACATGGGAGAAAATTGTAAATTATGATACCTTTTTTTTCTCTCTCGTTAATTGCTGAAGCATTTTTTTTTCTATAATAATTTTATATTGTACAACTATTAATTAAATATAATGATTAATTCTTTACAATAAAGAACTGTCATTTATATTACTTGTACCATTATCGCTATACAAAAAGTTTAATAGATGTTTTTAAGTAACATGTTATCTTTCAACAAGTTTTCCTGACATTCTGCAATTTTAATAGACTTCCTTTGAAGCCTCCTGTCTAACCCTTTAATAAAATATACAAGCAATTTACACTATTTGCAATGCTTCATGGAAAACCATGGATATGTAACCTAACCCAAAAACCTTGTACCAGTCCATCCCTAACAGTTCATGCTCACTCCTCAGAAACTTGAAAATAATCACATCAAAAAAATTGTACGTCCAGCCTAAAATCATATTCATGAAATTTTATACAGAATCAGTGTTAGGTCCGTTTTGAAATGGCATCATCACCTTGCAGATATCATGGATATAAATGATTTAAGGGGGATGAGTATGGCAATTCACTTTTTAGAAAAGATAGTTCTAATCACAAACTTTTAGGCAACAAAGTCATTTTGCTGTTTAAAACTTCTGTAAGTAGAACACTTTTCCCAAAGGTGACCCTAATCCTACCTAGCCTAATATAACCAGTCCTTATCCCTAATGCTACTTAACCTATTCCTAACCATCCCATACTCTCTCCCTGGAAACACAAAAATGGCCAAAAAGCAATTATACATTCAGTGTAATAACATATCCATGATAATTTTATAGCCTAATTAATCAAACACATATGTCAGCTCTTATGGCTTCGGATGGATATGGTCAGGTTGTTTAGCCTGTGAATTTTTCTGAATTAGTTGTTTTCACATATAATTTTATAATTAGTCAAATCAAGTCAAGAATTTGTCTAATTTGTTTGAACTTAATACCTTCGAGATCAAATTCATCGTATTTTATGATAAATGTTAAGATTAATAATTATTCGGAAATCGTGAGATGCGATCTGGTGTGACGTAGGTTTCAGAAAAACATTTTCTTTATCGTTACAACGTTTTGATCTTTATTGAGATCATCTTCAGGGCGTGGGATTTACAAACATTGTTTATATTTAACAAATACATGTAGGATGTGGAAAAAAGTGAATTTATACAATGCAAAAAAAATATTTTTCATTCAGATTAAGTGGAATCCCAGAGATGTTTGTCAAGCTCTTCGTTGATTGCTCTGCCACCATTATTTTTCAAAGATGTATTAGGGAAGGCATCTTCCCTGATTAATGGAAAATTTGTTACATGGTACCTACTTATAACAAATGTAATTTCCACTTGATTGATAATTACAGACAACAAATGGTGGATTCTATTCTTGCTGAGGCCTTTTCGATCATATCATCAATTAGCATGGTTTCTTAACGGGTAAATCCACTAGTACCAATTTATTTCATTATGATTTTATTGTTAATCCCTTGAAAATAGAAATAGTTTCATGCTGTATATACAGATTTGTCTAAAGCGTTCGAAAGAGTTGACATTGATATTCTTCTGTTTAAGTTGAAAATCCTTGCAGTAGGATGGTCCTTTGTAATCTCCTTCACCAAATCATTTCTTTTTGGTTGCTCTTTCTCTGTTCTCGTTGATAACTCAGTATCGGATAAGATTTCAACATCTTCTGGTGTATCACAGGGTTCTAACTCCAGGCCCATATTATTTCTTGTTTATTTCAATGAGGTCTGTAGAATATTCAAGGATTGTGTTTTCTTTATTAGCGGATGATTTGGAAATCTTTAACTCCATGTCTTGAGCTATCAATTGTGTTAGTTTACAAGGGGAACTGGACTGCTACATTAATTGGTGTGAATAGAATTGTCTTCCTTTGAATAGTAGCAAATGCAAGGAATTAAATTTACTAAAAATATCTTACATCGTGACTGATTGTTTTGATCACTTTTTTGATTTGTAGAGATAGGAAGGGGTTGACACTATTTCCGACCTTGGTGTCATTTTCAACAGAAAGGGCGATTTCAGTGACCATATCAAGCAAATTCGAGGTAAGCCTCTACTCAGTTAAAGTAAAATTAAATATACATGCCAGGAAACTTTAAGCCATGTGTTTTTGTTATTAATTTTTAGTTACTCAATGTTTCATTTTTTTTATTAAGTGTTTTTTTTTTTACTACTCCTCTTGTAGATTCACTCTGTTGGAGTTGTAAATAAACAAGTGGAAAAAGTGAGATATTATCATTTTTAACACATACAAAAAAAGAAACTTATAATTTGTTTTTAATGATCATTTTAGGCTGCCTATCCTTATTGGGTTGGTCTGTGCGATGGATTTTCCCATCTTCAGAGTTGGGTTGCCTTTAGGTGGTGAGATGCATCTGACAGAGCACCCAGTGAGGATAGACCAAAATGATTGGCACCAACAAAATTTCATCACCCTGCAAACAGAACATGGATATGTACCCTACAGGTTAGGTTACCGAGCTGTGACCCTACCTAACCTAATGTAATCCCTAAGCTACTTAACCTAACTATTTCTAACCCAACCCAACTAACCTAACCCAACTTACTCCCTGGAAACGCGAAAATGGCAAAAAAAAATTATGCATCCAGCCTAATAACGTATCCATGATCATTTTTACAGCTTAATTAGTCAAACCCAAAAACTAGATTTTATCATGTGATGAAACATTATTCATTCTGGATAAATTCGTTATATTTTATGAAAAATGTTCAGACTATGTGGAAAATTTGACATTTACCATGGATTTAGGAGATATGAAGAAAAAGAAACTTGTAATTTTGTTTTACGATTATCATTGTATGATTGATAATATCTTATTAATATCAATAATTGATAATTGATTATCAATTTGTTTTACGATCATTTTCGTTTGCTATTCTTATTGGCTTGGTCTATGATATGCTTTTTCCCATTTTCAGTGTTGGGTCTGCCTTCAGATGCATCTGACAGAGAACCCAGTGAGCATAGACCAAAATGATTGGTACTGACAAAATTACAGGTTCATCACCCAGCAAACAGAATCATAGATCTGTACATTACAGGTTAAGTTATCTAGTCCTAACCCTTCCTAACCTAATGTAACCAGCTCCTTTAACTATTCTTAAGCCAACCTAACTCTCTGGTAACACAAAAATGGCCAAAAAATTATGCATCCAGCCTAATAACATATCTACGATAATTTTAATTCTGTAATGAATTTGTCATATTTTATGAGAAATTCAGACTAATCTTAAGTGAGAAAATTGCTTTTTACTGTGGATTTAAAAGAATGAAAACAAATTTGGTTGTTAATGATAATTTTGGTCTGCCTATCCTCGTTGGGTTGGTCTGTAACATGCATTTTCCCATCTTCAGTGTTAGGTCTGCGCACAAGTGGTGAAATGTACCTGACAGAGCACAGCAGTAATAGACCAAAATGATTGGCACCGACAAAATTATAGATTCATCACCCTGCAAATATAATCATGGATCTACCATCAATAGTTTCTATCTTACTTAATAAAAGTCGAAACATAAAGCTTAATCATTAAAACCAACTTATAAATAAAATTATATTTCATATCCATAATGTGAATATTAAAAAAACAAGAGTATATCCTCATATCTTCGTCCCTTGAGACCTTGAAAGTCCATTTAATTTTACGACCATGATTATCACATCTAATTAAAACTCCATTAGGAAATAGGTGAGAGAGAAGTATTTTTAGCCATTATTGTTTCCGATATGAAAGTTAAGCAATTCTACTAATAGTAGAGGTCTGATGTGCAAAGTATGTAATTTTAAAACAGAAAAATAGTTACTAACGTAAATGAATTATTTTCCAAATGACTTTTATAATTATGATTTTCAACATGCCACAAAATAAGTTATTAAAGAGATTAAATTTTTTTAATCACCTAACAGCCGTATGATATTCTAGTGCCCTAGAAAATTTTAAAGAACTGATGAAAAACTTCCTCATGAGATCAGTCAACCAAGCAGCTCTGAAATCATTAGCTAAGGTCACATCCAAAATAGTCAGTGAAATTAAAATTCAATACATTTTTCATACCATTATCACTTATAAATCATGGGCTTTGCCAAGATTTGAACCTCAAAATTTTTTTATGGGATAAATATTTTTTTAATAATTAAAACAAATATTTGTAACTTTATTCTAGCAATGTAAAGTACACTACTGCAAATCAGAGGCTATGATTAACATAACAAATTACATTATTTCTAATAAAATAATCAATTTTGTCATATTAAAAAAATATTACATTACTAATATGTACAATTAAAAAGAACAAAGAACAAAATTTGTAACTATTATATGCTTCTTTATACAATATACATTATTTCAATATTTTCAAGCACTGTAATGCGTGCATATGTAGTGTGTGTATCTGCTGGCGATTTGTTAATTGTTAATTGAACCTAGTCATTAAAACTAACAGAACTTCAAAATAAGCAGTGGTTTCAACCAATTCTTTTACGACTAATTTATTTTATATAGAACAATATTTAACAATGGAGGGAAAACATTTACGACGCAAATAAACTTATAAATAAATTTTTTTGCGTCCTTTTTAAAAGAACCGATCGGTGAGGAAGTGTTCTTTCACTATTTTATAAGGTAACAATATTTATAATATATATTTTTTGTAATAGGACATTTTATTTGTTTTGAAATGAGCATCACGGTGTGTATGCATGTAATAGCAATCTATTGTGCAACATAATTGCTTCAGACAGACACACACACGCGCGTTTAGCAGTTATTTCTATGCACACTTAAAATATTCATCTCAAAATTTGAACTATACAACAGAAAAAAATATTTACATTTTAATAATTAAAATAATCTGTTTTGCAGGAATTAAAAAATTATACTTTTTATTTAATAATCTTAAATTTTGGTTAGATTGTAACCAAAAGATTTTTTTCTATATATTTTTTTATATATATTTACATTTAATACAAGCAAGATAGTGTAAATTTGTACGACTGGTAGAAACAAAATTTAATTTTTGTGAATATAATAATACTAAATTATTGGGATTTTTTATTACAACTTTTCTCTATAGGCCATCTTCACAACTTAAAAAAAGAGAAAGTGATGCAGTGTACAACAATTGATTAATTTAAAATAATCAATCCCTTTATCTGGATTTGGAACACATTAACGAATGGGATACATTATTTTACAAGTATACATATATATATATATATACATGACAGCAAATAAGAGTTTAAATCTCATTTTCAAACCCGGATTTTAACATAATTCCATATAAATTCCATTAGACACACATTTAAGTATTATTCAGCGAATTCTTTGGACTTCACATAATACAGGGGGGAAAATAACAATTATAGACTTTAGAGTTAATATTAAAAATAAAATTTGTATCATAACACGTTTATTTACATATTAAATACTTATATATTTTTTATGTTAATATAAATAATATTTATCCTATTCGTAAAATACTTACATCAAAGTAACGCCTTTGAAGACGCGTTACATTAATTATCGATAATATAAATTAAAACGTTATAACATTCAATTTATAGAAACATCAATATACACAGTTATTAATAAAATACAAATCACAGTTGTGTATAACCTACAGTTACACAAACAACCAATATTTTTAACAATTATTATAGACAGTTAAAAAAACACTAAAATTAATGTTAAAAAAATGTAAATACTTTGGAATGTTTTAAAGCAATTTAACATACATATAAAAACATGTACAAAAAAATTTAGAAATGTTAAGAGAATAAATAGCAAATAAAGGAAAATGCTAATCTTTTATATTATCAGGCATATGTACAGTTTGGTGCTAATATTATGCTAAAATTTAATTTTCAAATTATGTAAAATTTATATACAAGAAAAACACTGTAAATAAAAACGTTCTTCAATTTATATTAAAAATGTACGGCTATTTTTTCTGATTTAAATTACAAATGTGAAAACTACCACAAAATAAAATGCGCTCTGGAAAAAAAAGGAGGGTGGTTAAATTAACTGTCTATAATTATTGTCTAGTTTTGGTACTTAAAGAATCTAGAAAATACGTAAGCATATCAAACATTTTTGCTTATGCCCAGCAAAATCACTCAAATATTTAAAAGTTTTGTTCACAATTTAACTAATATTCATAAAACTTTTCATAAACATTAGGTAAATAAATTTTCTTTTTAATGATAAAACATGATATATAAAAAACAGATACTATACTTCTTAAAACTTTTTTTTAATACCGTACTATAACGCACAGAACTTAATTGAATAAATAAATAAATACATAAATAAATATATTATCATATATATATTTATTTATTTAGTATGAAAACTTTCTAAATGTTTCTTTTTTTTAATAATTTTATATTATTAAAAATTGTATTCTATTTGAATATCACAACAGTATAAATAGTTCAAGTCTCGGGGTTATGACCCCATCGCCCATGTCATGGTTACTTGGAAGAAATACACCGAAATTTAAAAACCTTTTGAATATAATACAATATTTATATACATACAAGTAATAATTATGCATGGAATTTTTTGAATGTTTTATTTGAACAAACAAAACACATAGACATGGATTAATCTGTAAAATAATATATTTTATCTAAAGAATGCAGCATGACGTGGAACAACAGCTGCTTCCCCCGCCTTTGCTTTTTTGCCGCTGATCTGAAATACAGTTAAAAATAAAAAATTACAACAGGAAATAAACAAATATAAGTTACTATTTGACTTTCCAAAATACACTCAAAAAACACTATGAAGTTTTAAAAAAATTGAAAACTATAAAAATTGAATACTTTTTTTCTGGCCTTGTACTAGACCTTACTACTTGTACTAGTACTGGCCTTGTATCTAGGCCATAGACATAGTTGACCATAACTATTCAGAAATCGTGAGATGAGGTTTGGTGTGATGTAGGTTTCAGAAAACCATTTTCTTTATCGTGTCAACGTTTCGATCTTTTATTGAGTTCATCTTCAGGGCCTGGGATTTACAAACATTGTTTACATTTAACAAATACATTTAGGATGTGGAAAAGTGAATTTATACAATGCAAAATATATTTTTTATATTCAATCAAAGTATTTCTACTCACTCAAAGTGTTTGTCTTCTGTGTAATTGTGCCATTCTTGCTTGTCGTGTTGAGAGTGCCAGTGAGATTTTGCTATTTTGTGTTTATATACGTTGGATTTTGAAGGGGTGGGGAAGGATGTCGGTATAGAAGAGACATTTTTGTATAAGGCATCGGCTTCTTTGAGGTGAAAAGAGCCGACGAAGGGAAACAATGTGTTGGTAATGGTTCGGCCAGATTATCCTTTCAGGATTATATAGAAACGGAAAAATAGGAAAAGGAAAGCTAAATTGTTGGACAATTAGACTATGAAAATTATTCGATGTGTGGAATGTAATGTAATGATATATGTATGTTATCTATATTGAATTTGATTAATAATATTGGCGCAACTGCGACTGAATTTACATGTACCTGTTCTGTAATTGATGCTGTGTTTATCTCTGTTGATATAAACCATTTCTAAGAAATTACGTTTATGTTTTTGTTCTGTATGTAATATTTTTGGATTTTTGAAGTCGATATTGTGTTGGTATTCAAAATGGTGGGTAGCGAATGCTGTATGATTTTGCTTGGGTTTTTTACTATCATAGATATGTTACTTTACTCTCTTGTCCAGATATTGGGATGTAAGACCGATGTAAGTTGCCGGACAGTTTAAACAGTTGATCTTGAAGATTACATCAAATTTATTTGTTATTAGTGTGGGATCTTTAATTTTGGAAAAAAGTGTTTGGATTGTTTTATAATTTTTGAAAGCTATTTTGAAGTTATCGGACGAGAGAAATGTGTTTAATTTATGTAATAGGCCTTGAATAAATGGCATGGACATGTATGCTGGTTTGTTTGTATTTTATCGAAACGTTGGCACGATAAAGAAAATGTTTTTCTGAAACCTACATCACACCAGATCGCATCTCACGATTTCTGAATAATTATCGATTAACTGTCACTAATCACCACACACACCTATACCATAACTATCTTTGAAAAGGCTGTGACTCACACATGGTACAAGAAGCAAAGAATTCTTTAAACATGGTCTCAGCCATCTGGCACAAGCCAAAGTGGCACTCATCTTGAACAACTCCCCCCCCCCATTATTTAAGTGTCAAGCGATATGCTGATTTGAAAATAGTTGCCTCTACATTCGTAGAGAACCTGATGTGGGGCATCAAGAGACTAGAGAAATAGAGGTGGAGTGCGGCTCACTCTGGATCGGCTAAGTAACAGACACTACAACCATTGTTGGCCGAAGCATCTGCCTGGGCGAGATCTTGAGTTAAAATCATGCTTTTAGTTTAAAAAAAAAAACTAATCCAATATGATTGATCTGCTGGTGTAAGCAAACATTTTAGAGCTTTTGAAGTTTCATTGGGCAGTTTTACAAGTTATTATTAATATGAGGTGACATAATATTCAAAATGAACAATACCTTGGGAATTTGGCTCTGGAAGATTCTCTCGCGGCACTAGATGCATTACGGTGGTGCGACCAAACGGTAAGCCAAGAGCACCTAAAGTAACATTGCTATGCAGGAAGCGTCCCTGGTATATAAGTCGAAGAATTTCTGCTTTTGCAACAGCTTCTTCTGCCCAGTCTAAAAAATAATTTAATAGCATTAGATACGATAAAAAAATGGCATAGACTTTAATATAAAAAAAAAATCTTAAACAATAAACATTACAAAAGGTGGACTTAATTTCAAAGATTTTTTTTAGTCAAATTTATTTTACTACAAATTACATTTAAGGAAAAATATTTTCAAAGTCCTCCTTAAAATGAACTTATTCGTGTAATATTTAAAAATTTGTTTTAGGCATATTGTTTTAGGCAATAAAAAAAATATATATATATTGGGTTGTCCGGAAAATAATGCAGGATTTTAAGTTTTCATTAAAAAAAATCTATATAAAATATTCTGTTTACGTTTACAGGATTACTCATTTGTATGAATGTCAACACTTATTAATCCTCTTCCAAATGATATTGTTTGTTTACCTCTGTAGCATTCCGCTACTTGGAAATAATTCAGTCATCCTTATAATGTCAAAGCGAGAATTTCGTACGATTTTCTTTTACGAGTTTAAACTCGGCCGAAGCGGAGCCCAAACGGCTAGAAACATTAACCAAGTCTGGGGCGAGGGTTGTGTTAATGAGTGCACTGTGCAAAGGTGGTTTAAAAAATTTCGGGAGGGAGATTTCAGCCTTGAAGATGAAGAAGGTCGTGGAAGGCCTTCCTCTCTTAATGATGATGTTCTGCGATCAGTGGTGGGTGCAGAGCAACTCAAAGTCAGTAAAACGACCGTCGCTGACCACCTCAAGGCGATTGGAAAAGTGAAAAAACTCGAAAATTGGGTTCCACACTCATTAAACGATCGCCAAAAAAATCAGCGCTTTGATGTTTGTGCATCACTTCTTTGTCGAAACAAAAATGACCCATTTCTGGCCAGAATTGTTACATGTGACGAAAAGTGGATTCTGGACAGTGGCTCGACAAAGGAGAAGCTCCAATACATTTTCCAAAGCCCCCAACTCATCAAAAAAAGGTAATGGTTACGGTATGGTGGGCTTCATTTGGTTTAATACACTACAGCTTCTTAAATCCTGGCGAAACCATCAATGCTGAATCATACTGTAACCAAATTAATACCATGCATCAGAAATTGGCAGTAATGAAGCCCTCTTTGGTCAATCGGAAAGGGCCCATTTTGTTGCATGACAACGCTCGACCACATGTGTCACGTGTAACGTCACAAAAATTATTGGAGCTTGGCTATGAAACTTTGCCTCACCCACCCTACTCTCCGGACCTCTCGCCTACTGACTACCATTTTTTTAGACACCTGGACCACTACTTACAACACATAATATTCAAAAATCAAACGGAACTGGAAAATGCATTTATTGACTTTATCAATTCTAAAAATTCTGAATTCTACTCAGACGGAATTAATAAGTTACCAACACGTTGGGAGAAATGTATTGAGAGTATGGGAAATTATTTTGATTAAAGAACATTGCTTTAAAGTAACTAGTTTCTTTTTTTTTGTTTAATACCAAAATCCTGCATTATTTTCCGGACAACCCAATATAATATTTTTTAACATACTTGTTAATTTATTATTTATAGTGTATCTGCAAGAATTGTCAAAACAAGAATACCTTCTGGCCAGTTATCAAACACGTGCTGGGCTATCTCTCCTGCCGAATCATTTGGGTTAAACAGAAATTCTTCTGTTTTTCCACTGACTAATATCAATCTGAGGTTAATCTAAAACAAAAGTACTAAAATCAATTTTTTTTAAATATACATTATTTAAAATGAGTTTAAAATACAGATAATCCTGTCTAATCATTCAGACAAAATTGCAAAAATTTTCATTTTTTTAATTAAATTTTTGAGATGAACTTTAAGTGAATATAAATTACCAAGTCTATAAAAGAATCATACATTCATTATTTGTTGGCAATTAGAACGAAATTTAGTTTTCCACAAGACACATTTTTAAGATGGATGTGACATGAGAAAATTATCAGTTATATCAGAAATAGATTTTACAAGGGTTTTGATAGATTTTGAAAACAGACTGAAACAACTTTACAAACCAAATTCTTATGATAAATTGGGAAATATCTTGTTCATCATCATCAGTGCCCCCTCGGTTTCCTGAGAGTTTGCTATTATCATCGTCCACTGTTCTCTTCAGCAAGGCTGAACAATCCTCTAGCTACTTTTACAGGCAAAGTATTGCGAAGGAACAATTATTTTTTTATACATAATATTTCAATAGTAATGATAGAAAAAAATTCGGTATTTGAATATTACAATTCTATCAGTTCTTTCCAAATTGATCATTTTAAAAAGAACCGATAGATTATTAGTTCTCCTATTTGAAATAATATCAACGTATTGTTTGAATCATTGTTTATCAAAATAGTTATTAAATTATAAAAAATAAGCTGCTTAAAATGTGCAGACTAGCTTAGAAACAGTGATACAAAAGAGACAAAGCCTTACTCTAAGAATTTTTTCACAAGAATACATAATAATCTGCATGATTAAACTGTATTTGGTCATTTTGGTCTATCCTCTAGTTAGGACCAAATTTCATTGACAGAAATGGTTTAAATTAACAAAGTCCTATGGGGTTATGACTAATTTGTTTCACATCATTTTGGCCTATGAGGCTCGTTTTGCCATTTTCAATGGTGGGTTTGTATCAAACATGACACACAGACACACAGCACTGAAGATGGCAAGAAGTCGAAACCAAAACAGACTACAAGAAAAATATTGTTAATTGAAATTTTAAAAAAATTCTTATAAATTCTCCTAAAATATTAGAAATTAAACACTTATAAACTCTGCAATTGAATGGCATGGAGAAGGCAAGAAATAGGCACACGAAACATTAAAGTTCCAATTCAGAAATTCTACCAAAAGGAGCTTCAAACTACAGCCTAAGGCAAAAATTTAATGACACAGCAACTCTGCATAGATTTAGTGTACCCTAGCCCAAGTTAATCGTGATAACTGATACAAGAGCAATGATAATAGACAGCTTGACATAGAACTTTAAAGATCATTGTGGAGATTTATGATGTAATAAGTATCTTTGATAAGTTGTCTGAGGACTTTTGATTGGAAGGATGACCTTGTGGAACCATATTACCCAGTATGTCCAAAGTGGTCACTGTCTTGTATAGAGTTAGTCAAGTTTTGACTGTCAGAACAGATCTCTTGAGTCTTGTGTGGGCATTCAACATAAGTGTGCTGTTTAGGTATTGTCATAAATATCTGACTTGACTAAATACTTCTGACTTGAGTGTTTATGTATCACAGTGTCCTCTCTGAAAATGTTTTAAATCTTTGCGTCCTGATTTAACAAAGAGCTTTTAATTATGTTTCAATCTATAAGAAATATTGCTCAGAGTGATGAACTTGTTAGTCGTTCAGTGCTCGTGATGAATGGCTGGCTATCTGTAGATAGCTGTCTTAATGTTTTCCCTTATCACAGTATAGAGCGCCGTATCTCTCAATTGAGTGAACTTCCGTTTCGGATAAGGATTTTCATTCAGTTTTTGCGATCCGACCATGAACCTTTTTACATTCTTGAACTGTCAGTGTAGCTCAAAAATGCTTGATCCTTGTCCCGCATCTCACCAGGCTTGTTTATTGTATAGTACGAGATACAAAAAGTAATGTTTAAAAGAACAAAGCTGCACACTTGGCTGGTTGTCTAGCTCTGACCATATTTGGATTTTAATCTGATCATCTGAACAATTTACACAGCGATTTTTAGTTTTGTTCTCTTATTTCATCCCTTCTTAGTTTCTACTTTGTACCTTGACCTTCTCTTCTTCTGTCTTTTTTCCTCTGCCTTTAGATGTCACTTAGAACAAGTATTTGGTCATAGAATAAGTGAAAATCTGAAGGGGCAATGCCTGGCGAATACAGTGGATGTGGTAGCACACCCGAGATCGAAAATTTCTTTTCAGATGGGGGGGGGGTCGCGCAAGCATTATCCTGGTGGGAACAGTTGGACGGAAAAAGCTCGTAATAAAGCACACCCTTCCAATTCCACCAAATATTCTCGGGATAATTGGAGTCAAAGATATTCTCTCTGAACATTGATGACACCCTCTGGGTCATTTACATTGCTGTCCAATAAATTCTTCTTAATCATGTGATGAACCCATACATCACACTGACAGACATACAAAGCTGCTGTCAGATGCGTTGAAAACTTGTATGATCTGTCATGTGTTAACTGCCTCTACCATGTATTGTGTCATTGAGAGATGGTTGTTTGTAACAAAAGCTTGAATTTGGTCATCATCAATGATTAAATGACCAGAACACTTTGGATGTTCCAAATCAAAATTTCCTCTTCTAAACTGAGCAAGCCATTTAAGGATATTGCTTTCTTCTAAAGCGTCATGTGTTTCTGAAATTTTCTTAGCAATTTGAGCTATGGTGTTTTTTAGTTGTGATCTTTCGTTTCAACTCTTCCTAGTCTTTCTTTTTCTCTCATTCTGTCTCTTTCTTAAAAAGGGAATGATTTGATTTCTTGACTGTTGTACTGACTTCTCACCTGCTGGCAATACAGTTTGTGTAATGTGCAATAGATTCAGCAGGCCACGAGGATCCCCACCCTGTGTTTTAACTGTCTACGGTCAAACCTCGACTTATCTGTCCCGCTACCAAGTTGGGCTCCATGGATTATTAACATCTAGATCATTTCAGCCCTCAACAAGTCAGTGTCTAAATTCGACCCACCCATATCGACGACCCAACTCAACTTAAATGCATTCTTTCCAAAGTACATTCACCTGATGTACGCTAATAAATAAATTCATTCTCAATATATTCAAAAGGATCGCAAAACGAGATATCAATATACACCATATATAACAAAACAGCCCTGTTTCTCCAGATATCAGAACTCTAAAGAATTCTAAAGATTTGCTGACGCACTCAGCTACAATTCTTACATCAGGTGCCATTCCTAGCTCTCTATATGGAGCCAAAGAAGGACACAATGAACAACGTTTCTCTACTTGCCTATTCCTAATCAGGTGTTTATGACCCCTCTTCTACAATTAAGATTCTCTAAAGGCCACCTATCAAGTATAAAAGTGAATATACATTTTTGTATCAAAGTGCGATTAGTAAATTCTCATATAATGTTATACTGCAGTTATCATATTCACTGATCCTCTCACACTTCACACTGATAAATACATTCACTCTCAATATACCCATCTACACCTTTTACGTACAATAAAACAACCTGTTACCTCCAGAAATCTAAACTGGGCACCCAAAGATTCGGTGGTGTACTCCAGTACAATCCTCATATCGGGAGGCATTCCTACATGCCAAAGGATACATGTGCAAGTTTTGGCCCAAAAGTCTGTACGTCAACCTCGCATAGTTTAATTTCTAATCGAGTCAGGGTGACCCTCATAGGGACTGTGATGTGATGGATTGCTACAGTGAAAACTCTTATTATATGTAAGAGACTCCTCTGTTTACAGATTCACTGGCATGGAAGATTAATTACAGCAAGAGGTTTTGACTGAACCAAGAAATTTTTGTGTTTTTTCCTCCTATGGTCTCGAGGGTGAACCTATGATTTGATCCTTACTATGGCTGTCCCTTAGCAAGAGGTTTTGACTGAACCAAGTATTTTTTTAGTTTTTCCTCCGATGGTCTTGAGGGTGAACCTATGATTTGAATCTCACTAGGACTGTTTCTTAACAAAACATTCTGACTATACTAAGTATTTTTTCATCTGATTTCCTCTTATGGTCTCAAGGGTGAACCTATGATTTTACCTCACCATGACTGTCCCTCAGCAAAACGTTTTGTCTGTACTATCTATTTTTCATGTGATTTCCTCCTAGGTTGTGAGGGTGAACCTATTATTTGCTCCTCACTACGACTGTCCTTTAGCAAAATGTTTTGCCTGTACTACGTATGTTTTTATGTGATTTTATCCTATTGTTTCCAGGGTGAACCTATGATTTGAACCTCACCATGACTGTCCCTTAACAAAGCGTTTTGACTGAACAAAGTATTTTTTTCATGTGTTTCTCCTATGGTCCCCAGGGTGAAGCTATGATTTGATCCTCATTATGATGGTCTCCTTGCAAAACGTTTTGACTGTACTAAGTATTTTTACATGATTTCCTCTAGTGGTCTACAGGGTGGTGAACCTGATTTGATCTTACCAAGCCCTATAACAACACTGAAGATGGTGAAATGCTGAAATGCATCTGACAGACCAAACCAAGTGATAAACGACCAAGATGATCAGTAAGTATCAAGTTTTTTAATTTTTATTTTAATGAATCAATTGTTTAAGCTCTGCTCTTTTATTTTCTTTGTTGACTATAAACTTAGCCATTGTGTCGAATAATTCTAATCAATCAACCTTGTCCCTGTTTTTTTTCTTTTCTTCCTTCCCCCTCACACTAAATTTCGTTTGCAGGTAAAAGTATGAGATGTCACCATAGTTAATTATGATAACCTACTGTACTATAATAACGTTATCGAGTCTGTGATATAAGAATCGAGGATAAAAATTAATATTTCAGACACTTTGTTTTTTTAATATCATTACGAAATCACGATGTAAAAATAGACGATTGATTGATTATATTGATTGTTGCTTTAAAGAGGGTCTTCGTGTTAAGCGAAGTGCAAACATATTTTCATCGATAGGTCGTGCATTTTAGTACTGGAAATATGATAAAAAGGAGATAAAATGGTAGAAATGAAGACGAGTTAAGGAGAAAAATGTTTTTCAAAAAATTCGCTTCATGACAACGCCTTTAATTTATCCAATAACCGAACGACAAATTGCAGGATTTTCTTCCAATAAACAAGATTTTTGACACGAAAAACACAAGTGAAAAGTGCTTAAAAGTCGGAAAATAGGGGGAAAAAAGATAGTCTTTTGGGAAAAAATCGACTTCGACCCACCCTCGGTTACCCCGGAGCCGGCCCAAATCTTTCAATTGTTCAACCAAACCGAAATCTTATCTTTTTTCTCTGGGAACAATCCACAATAATAAACTTTTCCTGTACTTTCTGAAATATGTTTGTACAAGAGATTATAAGGGTTGAAGTGAAAGGTTACCATAAAAACACAAAAAGTTTCGAACAGGACAATTCAAAATTTTAATTGGCGATGTTTTGTTGCTGGTTGAAATTTAAATCTCGGGTATCACTATTCCGATGGACTATTCCAGTCCGAAGTACATTGACTGGAAAATTTCCTAAAAACATGGAAAACCTGAGTTTTAAAGTTTAATATCCAGCAACAAAACTCCACCAAATTAATTTTCAATTTTTATTAACTCCGGTATCACTATTTTAATGGTGTCAAAATACTGGCTGAAAAACTCCATAAAAAATGAGCCTAAGATAATTTAAATTTTAACTCCAGTAACAAAACATTTCGGCTGGAAAAACTCCATAAAATAGTGAATCGAAGATAATTTAAATTTTAACTCCAGTAACAAAACATTTTGGCGAGAAACCTCCATAAAATAGTGATTTTACGATCATTTACATTTTAACTCATTAAAAAAAGGCAGGAAAAACTCCATAAAATAGTGAACCTGAGATAATGTAAATTTCAACTCCATTAAAAAAAATTGACTGGAAAAACTCCATAAAATAGTGAACCTGGGAAAATTTAAAGTTCAACTCGTTACAAAACACTTTGGGCTGTAAAACTCCATAAAATAGTGAACCTGAGATAATTTAAATTTTTTAAGTCCAGTAACAAAACATTTTCGCTGGAAAACTCCATAAAATAGTGAACGTAAAATAATTTAAATTTTTAACTCCAATAACAAAACATTTTCACTGGAAAACTCGATAAAATAGTGAACCAAAGATAATTTAAATTTTAACTCCAGTAACAAAACATTTTGGCTGGAAAAACTTCATAAAACATTGAACCTAAGATGATTTAAATTTTTAACTCCAGTAAAAAAACATTTCCGCTGGAAAACTCCATAAAACAGTGAACCTAAAATAATTTAAATTTTAACTCAACACTCTCACACGACACGCAAGAATGGCACAATTACACAGAAGACAAACACTTTGAGCCCTGAAGATGATCTCAATAAAGATCGAAACGTTGGCTCGATAAAGAAAATGTTTTTCTGAACCAGACCGCATCTCACGATTTCTGAATAATTAAATTTTAACTCCAGTAAAAAACATTTTGGCTGGAAAAACTTCATAAAATAGTGAAACTAAGATGATTTAAATTTTTAATTCCAGTAACAAAACATTTTGGCCGGAAAAATTCCATAAAATAGTGAACCTGAGATAATGTAAATTTCAACTCCATTAAAAAAAATTGACTGGAAAAACTCCATAAAATAGTGAACCTGAGATAATTTAAAGTTCAACTCCAGCTACAAAACACTTCAGCAGGAAAAACTTTATAAAATAATGAAAATCTAAGATTTCAACTTAAGCCAGTCATGTTTTGTTGTTCGAGGTTGAAAGTTAAATTTCACGTTTTTAATTTTTTATGAAATTTTAGTGCCTAAAATGAAAATTGAAATTATGATTTCATTATGTTAATGGAGTTTTTTTTAGACTAAAAAACTGAAATAGCTGAGACATGGGATTGAAATTTCAACCAGTGATGTTTTGTAGTTGGGGGTTGAAATTTAAATATAAATTTTCCTTGTTGTATGGCGTTTTAACAGTCAAAATTAATTGGTGAGTTTTCTCGCTGGATGTTGAAATTTAAAATTAGGTTGCTATTGTTTTATGAAGTTTTTCCAGCCCAAATTAATTGTTGTCATTTAGTTGTTGGGGGTTGAAATTTAAAATTTCAGGTCTTCGCTATTTTCTGGTGCTAATAAAACTAGAAAAACTCCATCCCTGAGATAATTTAAATGTCAACATTGGATTGAATGAATAAAACCTGAGATTTAAATTTCAACATCCAGCAAGAAAAACCCTTTGACTGAAAAAAAACCCCAAAACAAGGAAAATAGCAACAAAACTCTAGGAGGAAAACTCCATAAAATACTGAACATGAGATAAAGTTTTTTGTTAGACTACAAAAACTCCATATCAAAACAGTTAAACCATCAGATAATTTAAATTTCAACTTTGGGCTAGGACAATTTCATAAAACAATGAAAACCTGAAATTTAAATTTCAACAGCCAGCAATAAAATACTTTGGCTGGAAAACTCCATAAAATAGCGAAACCTGATATTAAAATTTCAACCTCCAGCGACAAAACATCAGTGGTTGGTAATTTAAATCTCAATTCTTTGCCATTGTATAGTTTTCCATTTGAGTAAAACCCCATCAAAATAGTGAAACCATGAGATAAGTTAAATTTCCACTTTAATGTGGAAAATTTCATAAAGCAATGAAAACATAGTACACACAAAAAAAAGTGCAAATATTTCCATTATCTCTGGGTTTTTCTATATTTTATGGAGTCAAAGAACTTTGGGCTGAAAAAACTGCATAAAACCATGAAAACCTGAAGTTTAAATTTAAACCTCAACAAAACATCATTGGTTGAAATTTAAATCTTAATTCTTTGCCACTGTATAGTTTTCCATTTTAGTAAAACCTCATCAAAATAGTGAAACCATGAGATAATTTAAAATTCCACTTTAATGTGGAAAATTTCATAAAGCAATGAAAACATAATACACACAAAAAAAGGTTTCCAAATATTTTCATTTTCTCCGGGTTTTTTCAATATTTTATGGAGCCAAAGACCTTTGGGCTTAAAAAAAAAAACTCCATAAAACATGAAAACCTGAGATTTAAATTTAAACCCCAACAACAAGCCATCAGTGGTTGAAGTTTAAATCACAATTCTTTGCCATTTTATAGTTTTCCATTTTAGTAAAAGCTGGAAAAATGTCATAAAGCAATGAAAACATAACACACACAAAAAAGTTAGCAAATATTTTCATTATCTCTGGGTTTTTTCAATATTTTATAAAGCCAAAGACCTTCAGGCTGAAAAAAACTACATTGAGATTTAAATTTCAACTCCCAACAACAATACATCGTTGGTTGGAATTTAAATATCAGTTTTCACTATTTTATGGAGTTTTTCCAGCAAACCGGTTTTTAGCCTGGAAAAATTCTCTTAAAAATGTGAAAGCTGATATAATTTGCCTTCGCCTTTTAAAAAAATAAAACCATTTTGATTGTTATTTAAGTTTGTTTACGGTCTGACATTCGACATTCCCTCTATATAGAGGTATTTTAATCTAGTAGTAATGTACTAAATTGACCTCTGCTTGCAATTAGCATTGAATTAAAAAAAACGTTTTTATATTTAAATTGAAACGATGTAACTTAATGCGTTTTGTAATTATTCGACGAATCTTTTTTATAGCTTCAGATCAGAATTGAAAAATTTGGTGTAATTTTATCAGTGACATAAATTTTTTTGTTTTGATTTTTTATGGGTAAACAGATGCACCATCCAGGCCTCTGTCGGTTTCGCTATTCTAGAATATTTAGAAGAGGCGGTTCGTTTCGGTCATCGCGACAAAGACGACAGTACGTAAAGATGAAGCTACATAGACAAAAGATTTTGCAGTCGGACTCGAGGATAATTGATCCGATTCGAACCAAAAGTTTAAAAGTCGTTCAAATTTTTGACTTGATAAAAAAAAGGAAATAACGAATTGTTCAATGCTAAAATCGATAGGGTTCGGTTATAAAGGGAAAAGGCTGTTGAAATCGGGAAAAAAGGTCTGATTTTCGTCTGGAGACATTGGGGGAAAGAAAAAAAGTCGTATTAGAGGAAAAATGAGCAAAGCGTTCTTGTGTCGTAATATTATTGCATTTTCTTACCTTATCGCTCGGAATCGGTCTGCAAACCATTTTTGCGTCAATCCTAAAAGCGACGACGGATCCGATTCGACGAGACACGGTTCAAAACGAAGAAACGGATACGTTGAGGTCGAGGAATTGAGTATGTAGGCAGACGATACACTTTCCAGCACAGTTCCAGGGGGCTACATGAGAAATATCATCTCGGGACGCTTTCATTTCAATTCATCCTATTTTGAGTCACACTCGAATTGGGACCGAGTCGAAGGAGAAACAGCCCGACCTTTTCCCGACGTCGGATTGTTTATAAATTCGTTGACATTATAAATACGATAAGAGAGCTGATAGACTGGCCAAGATGGCGGAGCCCGACCCGAACTAAGGACGAGATGTTAAATGTGTCAAAAGGATATGGGCAACGGGAATGGGAGGTGTCGGCCAATGCGCTTGCGCCCTGCCCTTTCCAGCGGTTCCAGACTCTCATTCCAGACATCCGAGGTAGAAACGATTTTTTTCCATATTCAATGCAATTTTTTTCAATCAAGCTTTTATCGAAGATTTTTCAATTTAATCCGCTTGATTTTAAACTTTTCTACGATCTGACTATAGTTTTCTACGATCCGCGATTCCCCATTGGCAAGTGAAGGCGGAATCGATACGTCTTTTCGATTAGTACTGTCTTTAAAAAAAAAACACCCTCGTACTTTCTCCAGTGTACACCACTGCCTCCCATTTCAACATTTAAATTTAACAGCACATTTAAACATTAAAAAACTCGAGTTTAACAAATTTTTCTATCATTTTAGCTATGTTGGTCTGCCTAACTAGCTGTCTGAGTGTTTCTTGGTAGAAAGCCATCATTGAAAATGGCGGAACTAGTCTGACCGGGAAAACAGCGAGGACAGGCGGACCAGGATGTTCGGAATGTTGAACTTGTATTTTTTTATTTTTCTTGCTGTCCAAGTATTTCTGGGTACAGTACATACAATACCACTATACACAACACTACATATACAAAACCACGATTCTGACGGCAAAACAGCGAGGACAATTGGACCAGGATGTTCGGAAAGGACCTAAGTACAAATTCACCAACATACATCAATGAGAAATATTACAATTTAGCAAGTTTTTGTTGTGAGATGTCCTCCTGAGGATTGCGGGGTGCTGAACCTGTATTTTTTTCTTTTCCCGCTGGATAGAAAGGCATAATTGAATATGGCTTAATGGCCAAAGTGTTGACTTTGTAAGTTTTCTTAATCTCTAAATACAGCAATTTTTGTTGTCAGATATCCTTTTGAGGTCTTAGGAGAGAGAACCTGTAATTTTATCCTTTACTCGCTGCTGTTTTTCTTTCTGGATAAAAAGGCACCACTGAAAATTGTGACAGGACTCTGACGGGCAAAACAGCGAGGAATGGCTGACCAAATGTACCTAACTAGAGGTTCACCACCCGACCACAGGACGATCTCACAATATAACAATTTTTTGTTGTGAGATGACCTCGCTACAAACCATTGTTATACTCTACTTTCTCCTCGAGGTCTGATGGTGAACCTGTAGTTAAATCGTTTCCGGACATCATTTGTTCATGCTGCCCTGAGTCTTTCTGGATACAAAGCCATAACTGAAAATGGCGACACGAGTCTTTTCTGTCAGACAGTGTCTGCACAGCGACAACAGACGGACCGAGATGTTGAAAAACAACGGAACTACAAGTTCACCACCAGATCTGAAGGAGAAAGTAGAGTATAACAATTTTTGTATATTGTGAGATGACCTCGCTACAAAAAATTGTTATATTTTGCTTTCTCCTTGTGGTCTGGACTTAAGTCCTTTCCGGACATCCTGGTCCGCCTGTCCTCGCTGTTTTTGCCCTGTAATTTGATCCTCCCCGATGGTATTGTCCTGCCTTTCCCTACTGCCCTGAGTCTTTCTGTATACAACGACATAACTGAAAATGTCGACACGAGCCTGAACTGTCAGACTGTCTTCACAGCGAGAACAGGCGGACCAAGATGTTGAGAAATTACCTAACACTATCACTATCAAAGGAACAATCTTACTATATAACAATTTTTTGTTACAAGATATCCTCTTGAGATCTGGCAGATGATGAACCTGTAATTGTGCGGTTTACGAACACTCTGGTCCGCCTATCATCGCTATTTTTGCCTTTCAGACACGTGCCACAATTTTCAGTGGTGGCTTTGTAAGTTCACCAACACACTTCAATGAGAAATCTTACAATATCGAAAAATTTTATTGTGAGAGGTCTTGAGGTCTGAGGAGTGATGAACCTGTAATTTTATCCTTTGCTCGCTGTCTGAGTCTTTCTGGATGAAAAATCACCATTGAAAATTGTGACAGTAGTCTGACAGATTTTTAAATTTTTAAAAAGGAATTTAAGTTTTCAGCCTAATCGAAATCGAAAAGTGGCAAACCTAAAAGTTTGGTTTTCGATCATTCTAGCGTGGCTCATCCTATTTCGGCTTCTCGCCAACTAGGCTTTGTACTATTTTGTAAATATCTACAACAAGGACAGTCTGACTAGGATGTTTTGTCATCGGACATCAAGGAGAAAATGTTAAAATATAACAATGATTTTGTTGTTGTGAGATGTCCTCTTGAGGTCTGACGAGTGATGCACCTGTAATTTGATCTTTCCGATCATCTTGGTCTGCTTATCCGAGCTGTCTTGGTATTTTTGGATACGAAGTCACGACTGAAAATCGCTAAACTGGTCAGACGGGGAAAACATTGAAGACTAGGCTCGTGTCGTCGTCATTTTAAGTGGTGGCTTTGTACCCAGTAAATACACAAACTGCGAGCAAAGCAATCCAAACAAAAAATTGTAATATTGTGCTTCGTCCTGGGGGTCTGGTGATGAACCCTAGTCATGCGGCTTCCTAACACTCTGGTTCGTTGTCCTCGCAGTTTTTGCCCCTCAGACTCTTTTTTCAATTTTCAGTCATAGTTTTGTATGCAGAAATAGTCAGGCAGCGAGAAAGCATAAAAATACAGATTCAACACTCCGCAAACCTCGGGAGGACATCTCAACAAAAAACAGTTATATTGTGAAATTTCCTTCATGAGGTCTGGTCCTGAACCTGTAATCAGGTCTTGTCCGAACATCCCGGTCCGCTTGTCCTCGTTGTTTTTCTCCGTCAAACTCGTTTCGCCATTTTCAGTTGTGGCTTTCCTCCTGAGGTCTAAGGAGTAATGAATCTGTTTTATTTTTATTTTTTCTTTCTTCCCTGTCTGTGTCTTTCGGATATCCAGAACGACACAGACACAAGGATAGGCAAGACAAAGCTACGACTGAAAAATGCGATACGTGTCTAATCTGTCAGACTGTTGCCTCACAGGAAGGACAGGCGGACCAGGATGTTCGGAAACGACATAACTACAGGTTCATCATCAGACCTCAAGGAGAAATCTTACAACATAGCAGCAGTTTTTGTTGTAGGGTAGGTGAACCTATAAGTTTATCCTTTTCTAGCTGGATGTTGCTACCACTGAACATGGCGAAACGAATATGACAAACCGAAACAGCGAGGTCCGGCGGACCAAAGTGTTCTGAAAGAATCAAACTTCCTAAAAAAATTTGTAAGAGATTAAATTTCATGCCACATTTTACCTATTCAAATAAGTTGTTTTAAGAGCACAGCTGACAAACGGATACACAAACCTGTAAGTAAAGATATAAAATGGCCGAAGCCGGTCTTAAAAGAAATGAAAGATGTACCTATAGGTCCATCATTCATCAGACGTGTAGATTATATTTCAAAGTAATAACGGCCCGACGCTTTTTCCTCGTCGTTTCACTTCATTTTCTAAAAAGCGAAAATGCGTTTTGAGCCGGTTGTAGTTTCATCATTCCTTCTCGAAAAGCCACACGTTGAAAACCTATTAGATTTAAAAATGCTAGCTTAAATACATCATACCTTGTAAGATCTAGGTGCCAGAACCAAAATTGGAGATGGCGAAGAATGCTTATTCCTGTACATCAAGTTGGAATTTTTTTTCAATTTCGAAAAACTGATACGAACTAGCGATTTTTTTACTGGAATTTTTCTAAGAACAATTTGGAATTTAAAACTTCATTTTTAACCGAAATTAATAACAGAAAAAAAACATAGCTGATTTTTAAATGGAAACCGAAAAGAGAATGAGAGTTACTAAGCGACAGATGTTGAGGTATAAAACAAATGAATATCAACCAAATGGCCAGCTGTATTTATTGTTTTTTTTTTGTATTTTTATACGAGAAAAAACTTGTAATTATGCAGATAAATTAATTAATACTAATATTGTTTCTATAATTAATGTTCCTCACAAATAATTAAGGTTTTTAGTTGAGATAAAAAAGTCAATGGCACGAGCGGGATTCGAACCCACGATCTTCGGCTAGATTCGCCGCTGCTCTAGAATCCCGCTCGTGCCATTGACTTTTTTATCTCAACTAAAAACCTTAATTAATTGTAATATATTATTAATTGGTCAAGCGGACCACGAAATTACTGAATTTAAGTTCCTCACAAATTTAACAATTTTTTCTCTTTGTTTGGTTGCTTGTCAAAAAGAAAGAGCAGGCTGTTTTTTATAAATACAATTTGGCCAGTTGAATGTATATTTATTGAATTTTCAATTTTTTAGTTAAAGTTTTAAAGCAATGGCTTAACTCCCTGATGGGTTAGTTGAAAGAAAAAAAAATATATAAACAAATGTTAATATACTAATTTTTCATCTCAACCAAAAACCTTAGATAAAAATAATAATTAATTGAAATAATTAATATGGTCAATTATGACCACTAAGCAAATATGATAATAAAAAAAAAATCATCAGCGACCAAAAATAATAAATTGCAAGCTTGATGTATCATACATTATAAAATGTTGAAAAAAAGTGACACAATATTCACTTTTCATTTTAATTCATTTCATTCATTTTAAGCGTCGTGGAGGATGTCGGTTAGGATTTGGGATGAAAGATGATGTACTGGTTGGGTTGAGGTTCAGGGTCGTATCTCGTCTTTATCGCCTTCAGGATAGGAAGTCCTTGAGCAATGGTTCGAAAGATTTTGGATTGATTTTTGCAGTGAGATTTTTGTTCTGTTGTCATGTAGTCATTCAGTAGAAAGGAAGGAGACATTTTAAGTGTCTTGAAGGATGTTAGGAAGGATTCAGGATGAAAGAAATTGGACTGGTTGGAATGAAGTTCAGAGTTTTATCTTATTTTTTTTTGCTTTCTTGTTGTTATAAAAGACAAAATTGGATCTGGAGGATAGCAAATTTGGATAAGAAGTCATTGGGCAATGGCTCGAAAGATTTTGGAATGAAGTGGCTGGATTCTTTGGAACCAGATCATATTATTTACATGAGGCATATTTATTTATGCAGTGAGTCTCAATCTGTTGTCATGTAGAAGGGAGGAGTAAGGCGTTTTAAGCATTTTGCGGGATATTGGGAAGGGTTTGTAATGAAGAAGCAAAAAAGACAGAATAATGCAAATGCCCTACAATCGCTTAGGAGTAGGAGGACAGTAGTCTGTACCTAGGAAAGCTGTTCTTGAGCCATACAGATCTAGATACCAAATGAAAATCTTCCAAGAAATCCTTTAGTAGAGATTGACACAATAGATGAAAGTTTAAATATACATACAACTCTGAATGAGGAAGATGGGAAAAAAGAAGTTTGCACGTACTAAACTATAGAAAAGGTAGCAGGACGGAATCAGGGACGTATGGAACTTCCAGGACAAGGTCTGATCAAATACAATCCCAATCGTTCCAAACCCAATAGCCAGAGACTTTTCAGTGTACAAGTTAAGCCCATTTTCAGCAGCTAATTGAGTTTGTCTTCCTGAATTCTTAAAAATTAGACTTTTTATGTATAATTTTATTTTTCAACTTGTAACAATGACTTAGTAATTTACATAAAAATGAATTAAAATAATGTAATTAAAAATAAAAGGTGACTTGCTTTGAAAACAAAAAAAAGACAGATTGTGTTTAATCAAATGCACTGTATTTTTACATTTTGGTAACTTTTCAGGGGTTAAAAAAAACACACACACACAAGGTAATATACTTTTGTTTTTATTAAGAATTGCATAACAATATAAAAATTCAGTATTAAATAGTAAAAATTAAATTGTGTTTTTAAAGTCGTGTCAGATCAATCAAACCATTACTGGCTTAAATAACTAATAAACTACACCACTTAACAATAGAAAGAATGCTTTGTGATTAACATAAATGTGACGAAAGAATGATTAGAAAATTTTTAAAATACTTAAAAATTATTCGCCACGCTGCTACCCCTCTGTGTCTTGCAGGATGCAAATATATTATCTTAAAAATTGTATTCTAAATGTATTTCAGTTGATCAAAGGTAGGGCAGTAAATACATTTGTTGTTAGATTTGTATGAGTCAAAATTTCCACTTGAGGGGACAATGGGAGAATTCTCTAAAAAAGCATTTGCAGTAACAGAAAGAATAATTATACAGTGCCAGTAAATTTTATGAATATTGACGATTTCTAATAATTATGTTGAGGAAGATTTTCTGCAAATTGCATCCTTACATAAAATTTCAATTATGTAAGAAATATCATTTCAGAGGGGAACAAGGCTTTTTGCTACATTTGTACAATTTTTGTAGAATTCATTGTAAAAGAAAAATGCGACAAATCAATTGATTTATCTACATTTACACCACGGAAAATTAACCACCTAAACAGTCACATTCACTGTAGTTGAGACGCAGCATTCACCCAAATCTCTATTCACTGAATAAAACAAATCTGCATGGTAACCGTGAAACTTAGTATTCTTAAATTAGATTGTTTATTTTACTACATCTATTTTTTCCCCTTAACAATCATCTAAAACTTAAACACACAATTAAACACAAATTGCAAATGTAAATTGTGATACAATATATTACATTTTTCTTCTAATTAAGTTATACAACTTATTAAGTACCAAAACTTTTTAAAAAAGGAAGTAACATTATATTTACAGTCACATTGCCTATTATTCTTTTTTATTTATATTTTTTGTTTATTATTAGTACCTCTTCATACTATTTGGCAATTTATTTCAGTCTTTCAATATTTAAGAGAAATTGTTTAAATAAATTGTTGTAGGCCAACGACTTAAGTGCATTCACTCAAATATATACACACAAAATATAACAGACTATAATTTCAAGGTAGATGTTAAATTACTATAATAAATAATTAATACTTGTAATGTTATTGAACGAAATGTTAACTAATTTATTTTATTTTTTTTTTTACAGAATTGTTTGATTGAAAGTACTCCCGCTGTTTGAAGTATTGCCGATTTGGTATTTACATCGGATCGCCTTCACCCAAAAAAGTCACGGTTTTAAATTTTATTTTTACACGTGTATTCATAAATATAGTGCTCTCTCCTTAATCCCAACATTGGTACTCCGAACATTCCTGTAATCCGAACTGAATATAAATTCAACAAGTCAAAATTTTTAAGGAAACAAATGCTATATTATTTTGAGGGAGGGGAAGAGAGTGAGTGAGTGAAATTTTTAAAAAACTTATTTTTTTTAAACAAAAATTGAAAAAAGTATTCTAATATGTTTTGTGTATGCAATAATTATAAAGCGTTGAGACGAAATTGTATTTTTTTACACATTCTGTAATCCTAAATATTAGGATTGTCGAGAGAACACTGTATTCAGAATGTTAATAATCATTCAAAAACTCTTGAAAAAAGCTTGAATAAAATATCATTTCAGTACCACTGCAACCTGGTAAGTATAGTCTGCCGTGATATTTCAATGTATTGTACATTTCACAATTTAGAAATTACAAACAAATTTTTACCTTTAGTTCAACATTTTCTTTATTTAATCATTATGTGTGATTTTCTATTGAGAAAATAATTTTAAAAAATTAAACACATACAAGTTCAGCATTTATCACAATTAATTTACTCTAAATATAAGATGTTCTTATATCCATAGACCCAGTTTTTGCTAAAGTTGTTTTGTAGGTCAGTAATTATTTTTTCTTGCTAGTAATTGCTAATCAATCATCAGTTGTTAAAAATTCTTGCCTTTTTTTTTAATATAAACAACTTATTTGAGATATAATCAATCCGTCTAGAAATGCTTAAGGATTCAAATAAATTTTTAAATATCCTTTCATAATCGTATATACATCAACTGTACTAGCCAACCTAAATTCAGAATAACATTTTTCGACAGAAAATTTTAAAATTTATTTTAAAGTTTTCAATAATCAATCTCTTTTTCTTGAGATTGATAAAGGCACAAATATTAAATTAACACTATTAACAGTTTGAATTGAAACAATAATATAATAAATTAATTAATTATAAATCCAATGAGTATGTCATTGGCTTATAATTAACTACATGGCAAGAAAATGTTTTTGGTAATTGTCGCTATTTGATATGATCTGTGTATGGTTAGCTATGAGCAGAGTAGATATATTTACATATTTTTACAACTTTTCTGTAATAAGGTCAAAGGCACCAGCTAATAACATCTATCCGAGGAAAGGAAACCAATGGAAATAATTTACAGAGATATCGATTAGCAGTTTTATACAAAAGCATAGCGAACAACTATAAAAATTCAAATTTTTCTTTTTTTTAAATAATTTGGTTGATATTTACATTTCTCTTTAGTTTGATTCAATTCCGCCATAAGTATAATCACAAAAACAAAGAATTCTTGCAAAAATTAATATTCATGTGACAAATAAATAGGTAGTTCAAGCCAATTTACAAATGAACATGTAATGAGTTTAAATGTACAAAAAAATGAAAATATTGGATCACAAAAAAAGGTCCCTTGACCAAAATTGGCCAGGAGATCTAATAAAATTATCACATTATTCTTGGTAAACTTTCTTGTTTTTTATTTTTCTATCAACCAGGAGGAATTACTTCATTTTCTTCGTCACCTTGAATTCCTAATCTGTTATAAAGGTCGTTTAACAATGGAAACGGCCTTCTTGGCCAGACTTTCCTCGCCCTCAGTGCGTTCGCATCCTTCTCAATTTGATCTAGCTCCGATACGTACGGATATATTTTTTGCTCTATCCATTCCGCTATGGTGTGTATATCAAAGACGTCTACCAACGCGTCTTTAGCAGATTTGGCTAAGCTAATCATCGAGTGCTGTATTCTCGGATGGTCTTGCATAAGTTCGTCGATTCGTAGCGAAGTTGAAAAATTATGCCTCACGTTGTAATCAGTCATCCAACCCTTTTGTTTTCTTATCATCGAGATAAGTTCATCGGCTTCTTTTTCAGCATTGTTGAGTCTGTATGTTAATTTAAAAAAAGCATTGCCTGGGAAAGCGCATCTTGAGTAGGAATCCCACAAAAAAGGATCTGTGTTCAAGTTAAAATAACTCGAAGGTCCAAGTATACCACAGTTTAAAAATGAATTTAACTTAGCACGAAGAGACGAATTCATATACCCGTATGTAGTAGCTACAAGTGTAACTGTCAATGATGGAATCGCTGCTGGAAGGAGCTCACAGAGGACAGAAAAATGGTCATATCTAAAAAAAAATAATTAATAAAATTAATCTATTTCTAAAGGTAAAAGTTTTTTAAAATATATTTTACTAACATTAAACCATATTTTGCATCTAATTTATATTTTTATTAAATCATGTTTTATTTTGTGTTCATAGATTTTAAAATACTGCAGTTTATGTTCCTAATTATTATTATCATTTTTATATATTTTATATAGATCAAGGTTAAACTTTGCTTTTGTTAAATGATCAATAATCGTTTCTAGGACAATGTGAAAATCCCGACATTTTTTCAACAAAAAAAAAAAAAAAAAAAAAAAAGGAGCCAACAATAAGATTAAGATCTATGGGGTAATTAATCAGAATAAAGTAAAATTACTAATAAAATACTAGGATAATATAAAATCAGAGTACGTATATTATTTTTGGGTACCAAACTTCGACTGAAAAAGAAAGACAAGTCTGAGAAAAATGATTTCCTTTTGAGATTTGCTGGTTGATGAAGTAATTTTATTGTTTCCAATGTTATGTTGTTGTTTTGTTCTGCCTTTCCTCCCTGTCCGAGTGTTTCTGGATAGAAAACCATAATTGAAAAAGGCAAAATGAGTCTGACGAGGGAAAATAGTGAGGACAAGCGGACCAGGTTGTTCAGAAATGACCTAATTACAGCCTCACCAACAGATGTCAATGATAAATTTTACAATATAGCAATTCATCCTCCTAAGGATTGCGGAGTGTTGAACCTGTACTTTTCCACTCCTCAATGTTTGAGTATTTCTGGATACAAAACCACGATTCTGACAGCAAAACAGTGAGGACAACTGGACCAGGATGTTCGGAAACGACATAAATACAGGTTCACCAGCAGATCACATGGAGAAGATCTCACATTGTAACAATTTTTTTGTTGTGAGATATTGTTTTGAGGTATGATGAATCTTTAATTTGAACCTTACTGATCATATTGGTCTGCCTATCCTAGCTGTCTGGGTAATTTAGGATACCAAGCCATGACCGAACAGTGTGAAAGGAATCTGAAAGACCAAAAGCTTAAAAAAAAAGAACTTAAGTTTTCATGTCAAACCTAAAAGTTTGGTTTTCAATCATTCTAGCCTGGCTTTGAGCTATTTTGTGAATATTGACAACAAGGAAAGTCCATCTAGGAGGTTCTCTCACCAGACCTCAACAAGAAAATCTTAAACTATAACAATAATTTTGTTGAGATGTTCTCTTGAGATCTGATGAGTTATGCACCTGTAATTTGATCCTTTCCAGTGGTTTTGTTTTGCCTTTCCTTGCTGTTTTGAGTCTTTTTTGGTAGAAAGCTAAAATTAAAAATGGCAAAACAATTCTGACAGGTAAAAACAATAACATGCAGACCAACTTGTCCTGAAAGAATTTAATAATTTTAAGACTTATTTAAATATTTAAGACTTAACAATTGCTTGTCATTTTTTTATCTACTGAAATAAGAAATTTTAAGTGTTCACCTATACTACTTTTAAAGAGTTATCAATACTCAATATTTGATGCTTAAAGAATAACAAGAAAATAAAAGATTGCTATTTCTGCATGGTTTTTGCAACGTGGATAAAAATAATCCGGGGAACTTATATTATTGTCAAATAAAAACCTTGTAAATAATCCAATATACTGTTTTGCATTGACAGTAAATACTGAGGGTATTACCTTTGCCATCCAGTTATTGCGATCCCTTGAAAACCGTGTTTAAACTTTGGCCCTTCGTTACTCATCACATCTAACCATCTCAAATTATTCTCCAAATGGCGTTTAACATTCGGGATGTAAAGTGTCTCTCCAAAGGCACCTTTAAAAGCACTCGCAGCCCATACTCTCGGGAAGATGGCAGCATATTTATCCCATACTGAATATGATACAAATCGGTAGACGTCTTCGGCATAAACCCATACCTTAAAGATAAAAAAACAAAAATGTTTGTTAATATTTAAAATTTTACATAGTTCTGAACTGAATAAATAAAAATCCATGATTACCATCGGTTCTACCAATTCTCCGATTCGATACTGTTCAAGACTGTTAGGAGTAAGATGCCTAAGCATATCATCCCAGATTATGGGAGTGACATTTCGATATTTTGACCTGACTATGCCTGCAACTCGCGCAACATGATTTAAAAACAGATTTTCTCTTTGCTGGTTCCTGCATCTTGAACATTCTCCCATTTGAAATACTTCGTCACAGCCGATATGTAGGTATTTTGAATGAGGATGAAGTTCCATGACCTAAAAAAATGAGAAAAGATAGTTTTTTAAGAAATATTTCTTCCACAAAGCACTTTTACTCTTATTTACAAAAGATATTTTTACTTTTTTTATTTTTAACAAAAGTTGATAGTAAATATTTGTAAAGTAATGTATATAATATTTATTGTGCATATACACACTGATGGACAAATTTAACGCACAACTCAATTTATTTAGTTTACAATGAAATCCATTTTCTTTCTACATTAGTTACAGGTAATTAGGAGCTATTGTAGTCAAAATAAACAGTAAATGAACCTTTTTGTTACTTTCTTTGTTTACTTTTATACTGAATAATCTCATTTGCACAAAAAGAAGCTTCCATTCTGCTACACCTAAAGTTCGCTTTCAATTAATCTTTTAACTTTGTTGATTTCATTTGAAATAATTCTTAATCGCAAACCCTTTTTCAATGGCTCCAGTCAGGCATCTGAGTGATTATGGCAGTGTCAGAGTGATAATATTATTAGAGGAAGGATATACCCAGCACGAAGTGACTGTGTGTAAATCACTCTACAATGGGAAGCAGGGTTGTTCGGCTAGGTCTAAAGATGAGAGAGATAATAGATTCATCCATCATCAGGCTCAATGAAACCACAGCATTATGAGAAATAAAATAACAAATCTGGTAAGACAAGTCTGAAATGTTTCGACTTCCTCTAGGACTGGAAGAAGGCCCAATAAAAATAACCTCAAGGCTCGGCACCTCTTCTTATCACAGCTCAGAAAATGTCCACGCTTCAATTTACACAGGAACATGTGCATTGAATATTGCAAGATGGGTGACGAGTTCTCTTTACGCATGAGGTGAGAGTTTGCCTCATATCATCAGATGGGTGTAATTGTACAAAAATGCTCAGAAGAAAGGTACACCCCATTTTGTAGGTTCCTCAGGTGGCATTCCACAGTGGGTCATTGACATTATGGAGTTGTATTTCTTTGGACCGAACTGTTTGTTATGAAAAGAAAATCTCTAACTTCAAGAGGTACAAGACGTAATCAAAGAACATGCCATTTGCCCCCACATCGGTAAGAGATTCTTGCTTATGCAGGTCCTAATACCCTAGAAGAGTTGGAAACGATTGTTCTTGATGAATGGGAAAAAATTCCTTAGGATCAGAAATCTTTTCCAAGGAATGCAAAAGTGTTTAACAGATATGATTTGTGTCAGAGGTAGAAATACTCAGTATTATAGGGGACAAAAAGTTTTTTTTACATTTTTATTTGTTTTTTTATTTTTGTTTTTGTTCTTTATTCAATAATTTTTTTTAAAGAATTAGGTAATAAAAATTTTCTTTTTAATTGTCTTAATTTTTTACAAGAATACCCTTTTTTGGTATGCAAAATATGATTAAACCTAAATACATTAAAATTTAAGGGTGGTGTGTTAATTTTGATCATCAGAATATTTAAAATCCCTTCAGAAGGCCTAATTGGCTATGTATATGTCTGTCATATAAAAAAAACTTGCATAATTTCTCTGCTCTGAAAAACCATTGAGTAATGTTAGCTAACCTTAACCCCCCTTACCCTACCTAACCTGACCTATACTATCCCGAACCCTAGCACTTTATGCCTACCTTAACTACTTTCATTCACAAAAGATATTCTATCTCTATTTAAGGAAAGTTGACAGTAAATATTTGTAAATTGTACAACAATATATCATTTATTGTACACATATATTTAAAATCCCCACAGATGGCCTAGGTGGTGATATGCTTACGAATATGCCTTTTGTATAAACAACTTATAAAATTTCTCCAGTTTATGAAAAAAATTTAATAATGGATATTTAAGCTAACCCTAAGCTATCCTGTCCCTAACCCTAGCACTTTAAGCCTACATAACTAACTATACCTAACCTAACCCAACCAATGAGCACCCCAGTAACACAAAACAACACATATGAAGCTCAAATCATATCCATGTTAAAATAAAAAACAAATGTAAAATTTATAGAAATGATGAATGGTGGAGTGAGTGCAGTGTTCAATCCTTTTTAAAAAGGAATGTATAATTTTGTAATGTTTTTGTTGATAAAGATTTTAAAATGTTACTATGTAAAACATAAAATTTCTATAAGTTTACCTGGTCAATCAGCAACTGGACAAAATCAAGAGAAGCATTTAGTGAAGGGCACAAGGCTTGAGCTGATTCAGGTACTTCTCTCAAATGTGCAAATTCTTCGTGTTTCAATGCGAATTCCACATGACCGAAAGTTTGAATAAGCGGAATTACTTCCAAGTCAGATTCCATTGAAAATGTTAAAATTTCTTTTATGTCATTTTTAGAATATGCATTGCCAGCAGCAATGTTGGCCAAAGGTCCTGTCCATGGAAACATATCTTCCCACTCTAATAAAATTCCTGTGGCTCCAGAATCTTTAGCAAGTTGAATGACTTTCTTTAAGTAGGATACTTTTGGAGGTGCTCCCTTAAGATCCAAATGTAGAAGACGCTTAGCAGGTACGTATGGGGTTTTACTGAATGACGACATCTCATTTAGAGCCATATCACTGACCTCATTCTTTTTAATGTCGTCTCTCAACATGCTTTCATCATTGTAGGAAATAAAGCTTTTTGCAGGAGAAGGCACAGTTTGGGATGGTACATTAAAAACAAATTGTACACTACTCCCACCCAACAAGCTCCGTTTGTCTTGCATGCTTCCAACTTTTGCGACCTCATCCTCTTTCTCTGGAACTTCTTTGGCCGAATTGTATTGAAAACAGGCAACTACAAGAATCACCGCCAACACTAATACGAGTAAACTAGTTTTTTTCCTCCAAACAGTGAGGGTCACCCACCCTGCATAATGACCAGCTATCTTCATCCTAAAACACAATAAATAAAATGAATAAAAAATATTTTGCAATATCAAATACTGATAAATAAATAAATGTAAATACTGAAAATGGATACAATTTTTTAGTAGAAACAAGTAATTATGTTAGAAAATCCTACGCTCTATAACATAAACATTTCCATAATTATGGATGAAACGAACATAATACATGCATATAATACCATAAAAATACATTTTGTAATTTGGTCTGATTCTCCTCACACCTCTGATGATGTTGGATAGACTGGGATTATTGAAGACAAGCACGCTATAAGTGCATCACCTCAAGAAAACCTCAGGTTGTACCTTTTCCGAGTCGAAGCATTGCAGTCGCAAGGGACCAAATTATTGGTTCTTAGTATTCCCATCATCATCAGTAAACAAGCCCGTTTTCGCCAGGAAGAAGCAGAAACAGTGAAACATGGTATTAGTGGGAAGGCATATCTAGCCTACTGCTGGAAACTTAGCCAAAGAAAAAATAAGCCAAAAGGATGAAGGGTTTGAGAAATATCAAACTCCGGCTTCCTAGTATGCTCATCATCATCAGCACTCAAGCCTGTTGTTGTCAAATAGAAGAAGAAACATTGGAATATGGTGGAAAGGCCTAGGCAGCATGGCACTGGAAACACATGCTGAAGGAAAAAATAAGCAAAAAGGCTGCAGTTTTTGACCAATATCCAATTCCAGCTTTTTAATATAGTCATCTTCATCAGCACACCAGTCTGTGATTGCCAGGATAAGAAGAAACAGTGGAAAATGCCCTATGCTGATGTGAAGGCCAAGACAGCTTACAGTAGTATAGTGGAAAAGCCAAGGCTTGAAGGAAGCACATGTCAAAGGAAATGTAAGTTTCCACTCTAGCTTCCTAATATTCTCATCAACATTAGTACACAAGCCTGATATTGCCAGGAATAAGAAGAAACAGTGGGTCATATTCTCAGTTGGAATGAAAGTCAAAAGGCTGCTGTTTGGGCAATACCTAACTCCAGCTTCCTAATTTTCTTTTCATCATCATTCCTAGGAAAGTGTTCTAATTATTGAAGGTGTACATTTCATGGTGTGAACATAAAGTAGGGTTAATCCAGGATAGTTGCAGAGGTTTTTTTGAAATCACCATGTACCCAGAAATAAGATCAGTTAAAAAAAATCTCACTATTTAGTGAAGGTGGAACATTGTTGCCCACCCTGTTGAGTAATTTTAATCTTTTTCCATATACAATTAACAATCATACCGGCCTTTTATAAAATGAGGAAATTCTGTGCCGCAATGTTTTTTGTTACTGATGATGACAGGATATTCTGCCGATAGAATCGGATTATTTGCTCAATAGCCAGTCCAATCGAATATTACCGTTGTTTCAAGTTGGATAGACGAAGGACACGGAACAAATTGGAAAGTCTGTGATTGCTACACAGAATAAGACGGAGATCGTGTAATATCTGAGACATGGAACTTTATCTGCCACTTTTTATGCCTCTTCACCATCCCCGCCACGTTTGCCAATCATCTCGGATTTAGCTTTTATTAGCTGTTTCTTTTACCATTTTCACATATTCAAACACCCGTTTTACATTGTTCTACATGAACTTGTTTCACCTCGGTAAATGGTCAAAATTCTTGCGTTTAGCTGCTCTGCTTTATGCATTTTAACCAATAACCATTGTTTATTTTATTATAATTTTTTTTTTGTGAAACCATTTTTCTTTTAAGATTATGACACAATTCAGTAGATAAACGTTAATTCTTGTGTATACATGGGAACTTTTACATGATTTTACACGGCCTTGATGCTAACTTGGACTGGGCCTGAATATCCAAGGGCAGGCGACGCTTAACAATGTAAAACCGAAGGTAATTTGTTTTATTTGAAAGTACATTGTGCATATTTGAAAAAATTCTTCCTTATTTGGTCACCAATCCAACGATCAACGATGATACGCGCAGTTCAATTTTATGAGGCAATAAATCTAATTGGAAATTTCAAGGGCTCAGTTCATTAATTCAAAATAGTGCGAAAATTGTTTTCAACCATATGACCCGAACTACTTTATTTGCCCTTTCTTTGGGTTTAGGGCGCATACAACAAAGGGGATAAGGGTAATTGAATTAAACGCGTTCTTTCTTTGATGTCTTGAGTTCGGCTGTAAAATCCGTAATAACAATCCATAGATTATGCCCAAGGATTTGATGGGATATTCCTGTTAAAAATTGGCTTAGCTAAGATCAAGGGGACCGTTTTCCTCTGGATCTACTTTTTGTTTTGTTTGACATATTAAACGATTCCATCAAATTGTTCACTCGTAAAAGTTCCGACCGTTTGGAATTGCATTAACGCGCTGTCAGACACTGAGGATAACATTAAAAATCACCATTTTTTGGGTACAAAAGAGGATACAGGGAGGTTCAGTCAGGACGACCCTAAACCTTTTTGCGGCAGACCAGATTGCCAAGAAACAACGAACCATCAGACAATGCGTTGAAAATAAGCCCTCGATTCTATGAGATTGTAATTTATAAAATCGCAGAAATGCTACGGGTAGGGTGATAGTAGGTGATAGATATCTGACATACTGCAGATCGGTAGTTATGTACAGAGCCGATTGGGATTGCATGAGGTGGCTAAAAAATTGCCTAAGGGAAATTTAGCCAGGACACCCTAAACCCCTTTTGCTTCATACCAAATTGCCAAAAAACAACGATCCATCGGACAATGTGTTAAAACAAGACCTTGGTTCAATGAGATTGTATTCCAGGAGGAACAGAAAAAATTCATCGAAGGACTATCGCATAAACAACGATAGAACTACAAAACTAGTTAAGACCTAGTTAATAATTATAGTAGGACTGCTGATTGGAAACTGCCGTCTCTGCTACCCGACTAAACAGCACTTATCATGTAAAAAGGTCACATCCTGTGGATGAATCTAAAATGCCTAAAACCTTGGAAAACATAAAAATGAGCATTACCAGGGTTATTTTGACATTATCGATCTGTCTAGTGAAAAGCGGGATTATATTTCTGTATATACAACGCCAGATTTACCATCGGATTTGACAAATTTTTTTTAAAAATTCCAGCCAAGTTTTTATTTCACAGAAAAAACGGAGAACAAACAATATCCATTATATAAAAACTATATTATCTTATCTTGATAATATTGTTATTCTATCCAACAGGTTATTAAAATCAATTGTTTTTGGTATTCTCCGCCAATCGAATAGAGTGGGTCAAGATAAAAATTAAGATCCACTACAATATTCTGCTGTTAATGGATAATGGTTGTATGAATAAATAAACCAATTGTGAAAAACATAAGAAAGTAAAAGGCACGGAAAGTAATTTGAAAAAATACAGCTCCATATTGACAGTTTCTGTATTTTTTAAAGCTTCATGCCAAGTTTTAAAAAATCGCGCTTCGTACTTGCTTAAAACAGTCAATCGTGGATAGTAACCTAACGCTAGCCTCCACATTACCATAACCGTAACCTAACTTAATTCATCATCACTCGTCCTTAACCCTAACTGTAGAACTGAGTGTATGATTCCAGACACATTCTTTGCGACATCCTATCAAGTTTACAAAGTTTTTTTAAACAAAAGTGAAGAAGAAATCAAGAGAAAAATAGTATGTTCTGTACAAACCCAAAATTTGAGAAATCAAACTCACTAGGGAAACTCCTATATTTTTCAAGATGAATTACCAAGAGAAACAATTTGGAAAAATACAGAGCATATATTGAAAATTTCTGTTTGTATTTTTGTTATAAAGCTTCAGGCCCAGTTAAAAAATCGCGATTGTTACTCGCTTCACGGAAAAACATTGGATCTTAGATATGAAACCGTACCCTAATTCTAACCTAACCTAACTCTACCCTACCTAGCCTAACCAGTCTCTAACCTTACCCCCTAACCTTAACACGTACAACAAACCGTTCATAACCCTAACTCTACCTAGCCTAACCTACTGCGGTACGTTGATAACATTTAAACCAAAATTTGTACGTGAGGCAATGAGGCTGCACAAGCCATGTGCTATTGACTATTTTATTCTACTATAACTTATAAATTAACCTTTGTTTTACTAAAATAAAACCATGCTGTTTCTAATTAATACCAATTTTATATGAAAAGAGAATTCTTACATGGGGAAGTTTCAAGTAAGCGATTCGTACGTTTAAGACCAATGCTAAAGAGCAAGTGCTCTGTGACACAATGTTACACTGAATTTATACATCTCAGATCGTCGAGATGGTTCCAAACTCGTATGTAAAATTAGCCGAACGATTTTTCCGTTACGCGAAACGAAATTGAAATAGGGCCAAATAGCGAAAAGAGATTGCTAAATCTTTTTTTTTTCTGTCCACCTTCTGCTTTTATTTTTCGATTGTTTTCTGTACTACATATACATGGATGGTTTACACTTTATTTGAAGATAGTACATAATTACAGTTGTTTTCAGGCTTGACAGGTGGCGAACGTGAGGACACAGACAAACCGCCATACTTTGAGAAAAAGGGAAAACATGCAAGAACACCAGTTTTTTCTTACCTTAGCTAATATACGAAAATCAGGATATTATCCACAATAGCATTTTCCATCGAATCACTTCCATGTGACACCCGCAACAACCTGAAAAAATACAAAAATATATTATTAAAACTGAAGATCAATAATCAATACATTCCGTACAAAAAAAAAAAAAAAGTGTAAGAGTAAAGATATAACATGATATCAGCTAAATCAGCTTTAAAAAATGTGGACCCTTTGAATCAGGATATTTTCAAGCCAATTTGGATAGTAGTGTTTTTCAATCGTTTTGGTCAAAGGGATAAAGTTTCAGCCAGGTTAAGCCCCTCACCTAGTTCGATAAGGTATGTCTGTACCAAGGTAAAAATCACGCAATCGATGACCTGCACACAGTGAGATTCGTCTCAATGAAAGCGACAAAGCGACAACAAAGAGAACAATTGCCGTTCCGAGCATTCAAATCGTAAATTCAAAGTCAAACACAGATGGGACACGTTATGTTTAAGTTCACCTTGAGTTCGAATTAATTTTTTATTAATACAGGTGTTACAAAAGATATTTAAAAATTCCTTGCTTCTGTGGGTTAAATTATAAGCTGAAACTCAAATTTTAAAAATATATTGTGTACAGATTTTTCTACTGATTGGTTATTATTAATTTACGTTAGGACCGTAGTGGCTGAATGGTTAGGTGTCCCTGGGTTCGACTCCCGACATTGGCCATGGCTTTTTAATTGACAATGATATGAAAAATGTATTGCAAAGTGGTTTGATCCCTCGTCTGCGATACCTAATGATGTATCACACGAAAACTGGGTCGATCTCGTACATGCCACGCTAGCGGTTTTGGATTCGAATCCCGGCACAGTCTTGGCTTGGATTTAACTTCGAAATGACAGGGATATATGTTTGTGCTTTTTTGAGTGATCATTTTGCGTCAACTATATCGCATTACCGAAAAAAGTGAGCACGGAACAGGATAGAGTTAGCCTAATCCTTGTCCATATAGAATTATAATAAAGCATAAATTTTTCAGCGCACAAGATAGATTTCCATTCCGCTTATGAGCGTCGCTCAATTGCTTTTCAGCATGGACATGTTTTTTGGCTTCATACACTTTTTTTGCATGACCATTTTGAGTTAGATTTGGTTCGGTAGGGTTAGGGCTAGGGAGAGGTTAGGTTAGGTTAGTTTCAACCGTGAGTTTTTTTTATAAACGTCTAGATATGGTTGAAGCATGAACCCCAATTTCTGCTGCCTTCTCACTCTAATCCTTGGGTTGTATTACACGACATCCTTCAAGGCGTCGGTTAGTCACTTCAACCATTTTCCCTAACTGTTTAGCATTACGATAAAGAATCCATTTTTAATCGCATGCTATGATGCGATGCAAAAATCGATAGGTTAGGTTAGGGTGAGTTAGGTTAGTGTGGTGTTAACTTTCCCTGTTGGTGACAAACATCTTGAAATTGTTGAAACATGAAACCACCTTCTACTGCCTTCTCTCTAATGTCGCTCTTGGGATGTACTCCACGATATCCTTTAAGGTGTTGACATGCTGTTTTTTTGTGCAAAATCTTATGGTTGGACCCCAAAATTCAACCACTGGCCTGACTGTTTAGAATTATGATAAAGAAATCAATATTTAATCATGCTATGATGCGATGCACAAATGGATAATCAAGCTTTCTGACATGGATATGCTTTTGGGCTGGACAGATATTTTTTGCGTGAGAATTTTGCATAGCGATTTCGCATTATTGCCGAATTCGCATGTGTAGGGTTAGGGTAAGAGACGGGTTGGGGTAAGAGTTATGATTGGGGTTAAGGTTAGAAACGGGCTTAGTTAGGTTAGGTTGAGTACCTCCCCTAAGATAAGTACTTTAGTGGGATCGCGGTGGCTGAGTGGTTAGGGCAAACGACTTGTAATTGCCACATCAGCAATTTCTGGGTTCCAATCTCTGCACAGTAAATGGGTTTTAATTTGATAATAGTATGAACCAAGTATTGTAAAGTAGTTGGTCCGTCATCCAACGGCTAGTTGAACGTTAAGGCCTCCTGTGTGACAAGAACGTGATAGATAACCTCTTTATTGTTCACCCCTCTTCTCTCTGTGGTACAGAAGTTAGTATACGTGGTTGCATCCGCATATCGGCGTTGGTCTAATGCCAATTCTGTATAAGCGGTAAGGGCTTTGCGTTCCAATCGGAGACGCATGTTTTGAAAAAGTTACATGCATTACGTCTGAATAAAGGTGTGGTCTCATCTGGTTTTCCAAAAACTCAAGATAAAACGTATTGATTTCCATTTTTTAGGAAGGAAAGACGGTAAGAGTTGACAAGACATTTTTTGGTCTGTCTTCTGACGATAATGGACTTGTATTGCACCAGTATGAGCGTCCCCTTATAAACCCTTCATAAAAAACGTTCCGTTCCAGATTACATCCCTGAAAGAATAGAAATGCAATATCGGAACTTTTAAGTTATGAGGGCAACGGAGGGCTTTCTTGGTTGAAACCACGAGAAAATCCGCTGAAACATGAATTTACGAGGATCGATGAAGAGAGGATGCAGGCGTGGATAGTTTAATGGTGATTATGTTAGTTGCTTACACTGACCACACGATGAATAAATTGGATCGATCGGATCTTTTCTTTGCCAGTTGCCGCCACTTGTTTACCGATACCGATCCCGCATTGATTGTAGAAGCTAGATTGATAAATAAAATTGCCCATTCGACGTCTTTTAAACTAGATATGCTAACGATTCTTTTTTTTTTTACATACGCAATATATTCATGATTTTTTTTTGTATGGATATTTCCTTTTCTGCAAGGGACAACATTGAATTTTTAAGTGGCACCATACAAACTAGTGAGATGAGAGGCATCCGTTGTGAATTCGAATTATGTCCAATTATTTCTTTTTTTTTGCTTATTTACACCTGCGTCAATTGTTGCACTTACGCAATATTTTGGCATTTTACAGGGTAAAACAAAACAAAATGAAGGCAAAAATATACATCAAACAGAAAGATGTATTACTCATTAATAGTCACTCCTATATATTAGCAGTAATCACATTCACTGTTATTCACTCTCAGTTAGGAGGTCGCGAGGCCATTGACGCTTTAGCCCTTGGGGAGGATTCTTTGGAAGGGTACGGGATGAAAGGTTTCTGACATGAGGGTTTGTGTGACTGGATACTTGTTTGTGAAACTTCTTGCAGCTTTTGCTAACTACTTCAAGGACATATTGGATGTTAAGGTCATAGTGAATGGTAAAGGATACATAGAAAGGAGCATTGACGATGGTACCAAGGATTTTTGATTGTAGGGATTGGATATGTTGGAGGTTGGAACGTTTTGTTGAACCCAGAAGTTCGATGTATGTAAATGAGTAGTTTATTTTGTAAAGTCTGTTTTCACCGTTTATCCAGTGAGAAGACTGAAACGTCTGTTTAGCTCTAGTCTTTTGAGTCGCTTGTGAGGGTCGTTTGCCAATGTACAGCGGAAGGTAGCGGACTACATTAGCTGGTCGGAGAGGAATACTACTGTAGGAGATGAGAGCTGTGGTTGTTCTCCGAAGGTGAAAGTGACATGTTCACATTTTTGTACGTTTATCGTCAACGTCCACCGCTTGAACCACTGCTCAAGGGATGATTTCTGGTTAAAATGACATGGTCTTTATGGGAGCAAAGGATGGCGGTATCATCCGCACAGGTAGTAAGGATCGTTTCTGGAAGAGTAGGAATGCCTGCTGTACACACGGTGTAGAGGATGAGTCCTAAAAAACTTCCTTGTGGTACCCTGCATCTGTGCGATACCCGGCTGACACAGAGTGGCCACTGATGACGTGAAAGTATCTGTCGGATAGGTAGGATTTTAGTAGCAGGTAGTAGGTAAAAGGGAGGGCGGACTTCCTTAAGCTTGCACACAAAAAAATAATAAAAATCATTAAATGCGATAACGACTACAATATAAAAGCTATACAACAATCACGAGCACAAATAATACCCAAGACGCGCGCACACAAACTAAACTACACCACAAAAACAGAAGCCACTAAATTCACGTGTATAGCCAAACCAGACAAGCCACGACCCCTCACCTAAAAAAATCATCGTGTGAACAAAGCGGTAATGGTTTTTTTTTCTGCTTTTGCCATACCGTTCATATTGATGAAAGACTGAGTCAGACGAGAATGGTGCAGTGTTTTCTCAATTTCAAACAAACAGTGAGGGTGGGTAACGAACTCAGCGAATTGGAAAACGTGAATTGAAACCTCATATTGTAAAAGTGACAATTAATCAATGACGTCACAGGACAAAATAAGGGTGGTCACAACCCTCGTCAAACCCCATGATGAGGGGTAAAATCATTTATGCCTCATAAATAATAATCCAATGTGATGACCCCGTCTGCCAGGACAGGGAAAACATAGCGAAAAATTATAAAAGAATATAGTAGAAGACTACGATGGTATATAAAATTAATTAATCTGATGATGCCTGAAGCTTTGGTTTGAACCGATTTGGAATTTTTTTAAAGAAAACTCGCGTTATAATTAAAAAATAGGTAAGTATTATTTCGATGTAAGCTATATGTTTTCCCGGGAAACGGAGAAAATATGCCGGTTCGAAACACGAGTTTATAAATCGTTTTTTAAAGTAACATCTGCCACCACTCTTCAGTCCTATATTTTGCAACTTATTTGAAATAAATTTTAACATACAACATACAATATACCAGTAGGGACAACCGCCGGACTCCACGGCATATAAGGATCTACACGGACAACGAACGGACTATTCCTCACTGAATATGGCGCAAAGCTGAAACGTGTAACATTAAAAACCCGCAAGTGTAGTCGGATCCAGTAATTGACCTTAATACACTGACACCCACCATGAAATTTAATATAATAATGTATTTAATAAAACAATGATAATTTGAATGAATGTAACTGTAATTTGACTTTGTTTATTCATCGGTATGCGCGCCAGCAAGAGAAACAATCTGTACACACAGCAGAATAAACAATTCCAAGCTATCATTTCAAAAATATGTTTTTTAGAAGTGAGATTTACTCGTGGGGCCTGCAGGG